ACAGGCAAGGCACTGAAATTAACTTAATATAATAACATTTCAACAAATGCTCTATTTCTTACACAAACACAGTCTGTACGGCTGAATCTCTGCAGCTGTGCTTCTGTGCTGACTTTACCCTCTGCAGTTTGTCTGCAGTTTGTCTGCAGTTTGTCTGCAGTTTGTCTGCAGTTTGACGCATTTACGTACTGTGTCCAAATTTGTACACGCAAACGTTTCATGTCAATCGTGTGGTCTCTCGCTCTCGTGTCCAGCCCTTTTTCATTCTCATGTATAGTTAAAAACATCCGCCATAGCTCCATCTTGGTCTTGACTAGCCTCGGGTAGTCCACCAATGATGACATTATTTATTCAAAGCCTAACTCTTTCATCTTGCCTGCTGTTTCCGTGGAGCAAATGTGAGTTCCTGCCCCATCTTTTGTATTCAAAACTAAAATACGCAAAAATTAAAAAAAATTAAATAAAGTAAAACACACTAAATGGTAAATGGTAAATGGCCTGCATTTGTATAGCGCTTTTCTAGTCCCTAAGGACCCCAAAGCGCTTCACACTACATTCAGTCATTCACCCATTCACACACACAATCACACACTGGCGATGGCACTAAACTAGCAAGAGCACACAAGCTGATGTCAGTGAGGTTTTTCAGTGATATTTTCTGTCAGCTGCAGAAAAAAAAATATCATGCTGTTTAAAGTTTTTTATTTGTTCAGTGGTTACAAAGCATTGTGGCAGAAAAAGGTTGTTTCATCCCGCGCAATCTCTCTCCAGTAAACATCTGCTGTGAACACAAATTTGCATCACCAGTATTTGAAAAAGCGAACTTAGCTATAGCTACCTGATCTCAGATGTGCTGTTTATGAGTCTATGTGAAAAATACCTCAGATGAACAACAAGCTTCTGTTTTTTTTAGGCAACTACATACATTAAAAACAATCCTCATGTGTTCTTGAAGTTTAAACACAAAACAAAGTCCAGAGAGCTTCTGTCATCTGCATCAATAAACTTTCCAAACTAAGTCCCAGCTGTCAGAAGGTTGACTAAAGCTGATCTTTACGTGATTTGAAAATCCACCATCTGTAAGGTAATTAGGCTCTGTACTGATTGCTGTGGGTAATGACAAGCTAGACCCAGTGTGAGAGGAAATGAGGATGCACAGCAGGGGGATAACACACAGAGCAGAGAGAAGCTGAGAATGAAATGTGACTCCCTGTTGCAATAAATCTGTCTGTCTCCGTCTTTGAATAACTCTCCCATTTCTATCACTCTAATTTCCATTATCTATCCTTCACCAGATCTCCCAATGTTCTTTTTGCTGCCCTACCTCTTTGCTTTCCTAACTTTCAGATCTCGGCATTGACGTCAAAGTGAATTTGAGTATGTGTAATACAGCCAAGAGAGAGAAACTCCAGACTGCTGCTGGCATCCTCTACCTCTGTGTTTGTGAGCTCTAATTCTTCACCCATTGCAATATTTCTGTGCATGCTTTTTCCTCCTTTCACATTCACTCCTTTTCTCTTTGGAATCTGAACCACGTCTCTTAGTTTCCTTGTTCTTGGCTGCTCTGGGTGGGTTACCAGATGTCCAAAAGGGGAAACAGAGCTGTCGGTGATGACAGTGATGATGAATGACATGGGTGATCGCTGGCTAGACAGCCAGGACAAATATGGCCTAATGTGAGACAAACAACACCAGTTGGCTATCGTGTATCTGGATTGTGTTATCCAAGGCAGGCAGGTCAACACTAGCTGCTGTTAACTCAACAAATTTCTCTCCACACGTTAAATGGTGTGTTTAAGCTCCTTTGTGAGCAACTTAGACAGAAAAGACTTTCTCCCGGTAACCCTTGCACTGTCATAAACTTCAACATTTAAGCTTTAGGTTTTTTTGCAGATTTTCTGAGCTTGGCTGAATAAATTGGTGGGAGGTCCACTGCTGGAACGATTGGCCACTGTCCTCAATGTTTTCCACTTGTGAATAATCTTTCTCACTGTGGAAGGATGGACTTCAAATTGATTGGATATGGCCTTATTGATGGGTGGCAGCAATTACTTACCTAAGATCACTGCTAAAAACTTCCCCTCTCAGCCAAACGCTTCAGTCCTGCAGACTGCCAAAACCACTGCCTTTATAGAGGTTCTCAAATTCACTGATGAGCAAATAATCAAATTTATTAGCAGGAGCTAGTTGCTACTTACCCTCTTAACTGTTATGAAAGCAATAAGGGTGCTTTTCACACAATGCTTCTGCATTTTGGCTTAATTTGTATTAAATAAACAATAGCACACTGTAATATGTCATATATTATTGTTCATCTGAGGTTGCATATACTCAATTTTCAGAAGTGGTATGGACCAGATGATTTTTATGAAACGCTTACACTGAAGTTCACATGTCCAGTTAAGCACTATGAAAAGCCTCATCTTAGTTATTATACCACAGCATGTATTTTTAATTTCTCTTTGATATTTGGGCTGATTGGGTCCTGATGAATGTAAAAACAAAGAATTACCAGATATTTTTTTTACCTAATTTTTGTTTCTAAGAAAAATGAGAGCCACATATTCGTTTAAAATTTTGATAGAACAATAGCAGTATAATGTCGTCGTAAGTGGATATCAGGCCCTTGTAGAGCAAAATTGAGTATTTTGGTCTAAATAACCCAAAATGTGATGTCCACATGTGTGGACGCCAGGTACTAGGAAGTTAATGGTTAATGTTTAATATAATACGTTACACTGAAAAGCTAATGGAGCACATCTACTCTGCTGCATATGTAATCCACATTTGCATTTTATTGTTTGCACTCACTCACCTCTCGGTACGCTCTCCACTCTGCAGGTTGAAAAGCAGAGAGGGGACAATCTTGTCCATGTGCTGAGGGTCCCAGATATTGGCCTGCAGTTCATCATTGACTGTCTTTCTCACCACACCCTGAAGACCCTTGATACCTGCCATGCGGATCCTTACAGCAACAATCACACACGCACACAGAAACCATCTGACTGGTTACTCGGCCTATAAATAGGTAACCATATTTAGGAAATTATATTTGCACCTAGCTTTGTTATTTGAATTGCTCTGTTTTTTATTCTTTTGTTTTTTCCATGTCAAAGTTATATTTGATTTGTCAAACGATTTTACAGTCTATTTTCAGCAATAGAAAGCAATGACTTAAGATTTCTTTTTCTTTTTTTTAAAGTGTACAAAAGAAAATGTCCAAAAAAGGAATAAAAACTAAAAATAAACACTACCCATGTAGACTCAGAATAGCACTTATTTAACAACTCCATCTCTACTGCAGTCGAGCGTCTCTGTTACGTACTTGGTGCGGATGTCTGGGTCCTCATAGCCTGAATGGCACATCTCACTGAAGCGGGACACGAAAAAGTCATAACTGCGGTGGTACGATGGCGTATCTTCTTCTATGTTGGCAAATTTTACAAACTAACGACAGAAGAAGGTAAGACAGGGGGGGGAAAAGACATCCAGTTTTAATAGCATACAGATACACTTCAGCCTAAAAGATTTACAATAATATGCCCATTCCTTAAAAAGCCCAAGCCCAATAACCTGAGATCTGAGTGGTGCATATCTGCTAAATTAAAGCCAAACTAGAGCTCTCTTAACACAGGATTAAAAGTGAAAAACACAGGGCAGAGGGAGGCTATCCCACTGGGCAAGAAAATGTCACCAAGTAAACAGGCTGACATTTAGCTTCACACGACTCTCCAATTAATAGATTATGAAGTGAATTTCTTTAGAATCAAGCCAGATCATGTGAATCAAGAATTACACCATAAAAAGTCAATACAGAAAATCATAATTATGCCATGCAAAGTAACACAGAAGTGTAGCGCTCACAAAGAAAATTAGCATCTAATGACGTCCTTGCTGAATCATTTCCTGTGTAGAGAATGAGTGCATGGAGTGGTTTTTGAAATTTAATGAAGTATCCTTGAAGTATCCTCGCTTCAAATTAAATGAAGCGAGCCGATAACAGTTCCTGTGAAGCCGCTCAGCTGCTGCAGCAATTTACTGCCACAGTTGATTCCTGGTAGCTGCCCAGTGTTACTGGCAGTAATGATGGGCAGCTTCCAGGTATTAATGTATCAACTATGCTGAAACTCTTCTTATTGCTTTCAGTTAGTTATAGAATTTTAGCATAGTGTCCAAAACCAGAGGCAATAGAAAACAGAGAAAACCTCCATCATCTCAATCACAGATTCCAAAGAAATAAAAGCAGGCTGACACAATCAATAGGTCTGGTGCTCAGGGCTGTGTTAGAGATTTCTCAGGAGTACAAGGTTTAGTGAAGGTTTTAGTCAGAGAAACAGAGTGCAACAATATCTGGCCAAGTTTGAGTCCTGTTGTAATAACCTCTTTAATCTTCCTTTTAATTCATTTCTCTCTGACTCTGACCTGCTTCTGATGAGCTACACTGTGCACACAAAGACAGTCAGAAGCTGTATGGCAGCTGCTCATGGTTTTGGCTGGTCTTAATATTTGTGTAATTTATGTCAATTCAATGTAGTTTACAGTTTGTACACATGGTGTCACTTCTGTGTGATTCACACAGAACTAGGGCAGGAACTTTTACATGCTCGGGGCCCTCGTGCTTAGTATACCATGCAGAGGTATAGCGTCATTTATGTACTGAAATATAGTTTTGAATGAACAACTGAAGATCTCAAGCAATGTCCACACTGGAGGCGTCACAGAAAGCCAAGGGCATTTGGCGACTTCAAGCAACTACAGGTAAAACAACCTCTGGAGATGCAAAGCGTGTGTGTGTGTGTGTGTGTGTGTGTGTGTGTGTGTGTGTGTGCGTGTGTGTGAGAAAAGAAGGGGGGCACAGAGATAAACATTTTTATTCCCAGAGGAGTGACTGAAGCAGCTACCAATGAGTGACATATGACCTCGTAGTAAATAAATTATAGTTACCTAGGCAACCAGAACCAGGAATGTCCACAATTGACCAGCCTTTAGTCACAAAGCCTTGTGTGATGAGTGTGCACGTAGCTTTATGGCTCTATAAGAACGGTACAATACAGCCAACTAACAACAACCTGTTTCACAAGCCTGAATTTGACACCTACTGGCAGTACTGAGCACATTTAATACAACAAAATACATCCTGATGCAATAAAACTTTAATTTTGTTTTTGCACATATGTCAGGAAGTCTTACCTAGCCTAGTTCACAGGTCTGAACACCACAGCTTGACAGGTGGAGAGGAAGTTTAATTAAAATAACAAAGAAAAGATCTTTGTTGCACAGTTTACCTGCACCATACAGTTTAGACTTCCCTTTCAAGCCTCATCACTTTGAGATTGTACTCAAAACATATCATGGAGGAGTTTCAAAGTACTTTTCAGTTCAGTGACTTTTTGAAGGTTCTGTTCTGTGTCTTCATGTCTTTGCTGGTGTGTGAATTCAAACATAAAATAACATTGCAAATTATATTATTTGGTAACAGAAATTGTCTCACGGTAAATTAATACACGGGCCTTTTTAAACTCAGTAAAGAGGTAAGCTACTCAGTCTCTGGCCTCACTTGAAACTGTCTTTAGATTCAATTTTCCATTTCATTAAGCATTCTATCATATGAAGCTTTTTAACTTGCGGGTGCGGAGGAGGTCTGTTTAGTTTGTCATGTGCACAGGGCTATGCAGGTCACAGCTACAACCTGGCAGCCAGATTAAATTTTAAGAAGGGCCTGATTTTGTCCCATAGGCATGTGCTCTACATACACACACACACATTATATAATTTTATTTTGTGTGTATAGATAAATTTCTTCTACTTGCTGAGTGTGTCAGGCTTTGTATTTGTGTTTTTGGGTTTATAAATGTGTGCAAGACAGAATGACAGCGACAAGCTAGCATGTCTCATCAGCCTGCACAGATGACTGCAGAGCATCGGCCGTATAGTCTAAAGCTAATCTGATTTCCTTTACGTGTCCTCTCCTGACCCAGCAGACAGTGCTGATAGCTGCTTCCCACATCAGAAGATACTCATCACTTCTCTCTGCCTACCACTCCGTCCCTGAGCTCTGATCTTTCTCAACACAGTATTCTCTCAAGGTTAACATCTCTCGCCTTTTACCATCACGTCAGGAAAGTAAATGCACCCTGTCAATTTCAGATAATACCTCTAAATCCACTCAAATGGGCAGTATTTGCTGCAGCAGGAAAGCTTAGAAACTAAGACACATTAACATCCAACAGCTTGGGTGTGAGAGCATTTCTGTAAATTTATATCACTAAAACAGCTGACTTGTGTCTGAAAAGATAGAACACATTATAGCTAGGCAAGTTTTCTTGATTATTAAATTGTAAATCAACTAAAGAAGTGTCTATGTTTAAAATCCAATAATATAATCTGAATGAAAGGACTAACATCCAGCAACATTGCACCCCTTGATTTGTTTTCCATACTTTTACTATTTTATACTACAGGCACTTAATTCTGTTGTAGATATAAGACAAGTATGCAAACCTATTTTTCCACAAAGCAAAATTGACAGAGAAATGCAGCTACCAGTCTTCTTTTTTTGATTGTTTGTTTGTTTTTGGTGGTTCATTATAAACAATGGGAGTCATCAAACTGATATAATGCAATAGTGAAATCCTGGAAACTCACTGAGTTGGTTCCTAGGATCTGCAGGCTGGGTTTGTCTGACTCCAGAAGCTTGCGCACCATCTTCAGAAAGCTCTCCACAAACAGGTTGATGCTTTGGCAGTGACATGCCATCAGCAGCTGGTCCAGGGCTTCCATGGCTATGCACACATACCTGGAATGGAAAAAGAGAGAATAGAGAGTCACTTTAACCCTGAAGATAAATGTAGTCTGTGCCTGCAAGAAATCAAAATAAGATAAGCTTTCCCAGACAAACTCTGGAGACTGAGCATATTCAGCTGGACTCTGCCAAGTGTAAATATAATCTGTACAGGCTGTTTGCATTTGTGAGAATCATTGCAGGGTGCTCAGAGAAAAACAACTTCACTGGAATATAAAGTAAGTGCAGACTGAACAAACACATCACAACGCATAACCCAAACCAATCGTGTTCTTTTTTATTAAAAACAGACCCATTTTCCTCCATGTCTTGTTGGTTATATTGCGAAGATAGTGACAGTGAGTTTCGAATGTAACGAGGAAACAGGGTCAAGAACACGCACGCAGAATACAAAGAAGGATTTTTACAGCACAGTCTTAAGCGCTTTGATAAGCTCAGATCTTATGCAGAGATCAGAACAAATCTCTTTGATGAAAGGATATTACAAGCACCACTTTTCCTATTACCAACAGCCAAGCCACCTCAAAATCTTCCCAGAATTTTTATGTTACAGCTTCAGTTGTGCTAGATTTAAATAAACTGATATGTGGCAAAGAATAAACACAAAAGACGCACAAACACCAAATGTTTAAGAGACTACAGTTGAAGCTCACCCGTATCTATGCCGAGCCACATCCCTTGACAGCCTCTCAGACAGGTAGGCTCCGATACGGTCCAGCTTCTCTGGAGCTGACAAGGCGTAGAATGTCAGCTTTTCCATGTTGGCCTTGACCAGACCATCCTAGGTGGGTGACAGAGGGAGACGGCAAAAGTGGGACACTTTTGGGGATAATAATTTATAAAATTGTTGTTCCAGAAATGTTTCTCTAATGCAACTGTGTGTGTTTAGTGACAAATATAAATCTATTCATTTCTAAAAAACCCAAATCAATGAGTATAACTAGATCATCAGGTTTTAACTCCTACTTTTCCCCTTGACCTACTTTACTGCTCTTCAGTTTGGTCTGGGGGAAGAGAGAGCTAAAAACACCAACAGTCCTCTGAGATCTCACTTACATTCGGACAAGACCAAAGAAAAAAAAAAGAAAAAGAAGAAAGGAGTGAATGAAATAAAATTTGAAGGTTTTACACATCCGGACAAGACATGAGCGGTGTGTTACAAAAAAGAAAAAGTACACCTCATATTTCTGTAGCTTTTAAAAGTCACAACTGTTTTTAGTCCCTGACAACCTTTGGCCCACTTGTCTTTATAAAAGCGCAGATCTGTTATGGTCCCATCAAAACATTTCAATCAAGTTGAGCTTTGAACTTATACTGGGCTACTGCAACACCTTGATACTTTTCCTTTTCCTCCATTCTGCTGCAGATTTGCTGCTGTGCTTGAGAGTATTGTCCTGATGAACGACCCAGTTTTATTCAAGCTTTAGCTGTCAGACATATGGCCTCATATTCGACTCTAGAATACTTAGTTGCTATACTATAGTTCATGGTTGACTCAATGACTGCTGCAGAGGTCCTTTGGCCGCAAAACAAGCCAAAATCTTCACCCCTCCACCACTGCACTTGATAGTTGGTATGAGGTGTTTGAGCTTGATTTTGGTCTTGTCTGTCCAAAGGTCATGTCCCAGAAGTCGCATGGTTTGTTCAGATTCAGTTCCGCAAACATAAGCTGTTCTGTCATGTCCTTTTTAGAGAGGGTTACCAAGCGTTTTTCTGGTAACCCTGCCAAACAAGCCATACTTGTTCAACCTTTTACTAATTGTGCTGTCATGAACTTTAACATTTAAATTTGCTAGAGTCTGAGATGGCGGGGGGAGGTTGCAGGAGGGGTGTCTGACAGTCTGACTTTGAGATGATACGATATCCACTGCTGAGAAGTTTGGAAACCACCCTGAAAGCTTTCCACTTGCGAATAATCTTTCTTCCTGTACAATGATGAAGTTCCAACTGTTGGCAAATGGCTTCATTCTCATTACTTCTCCAAGGTAATTGCTGGTGTCTTTCTTTCTTTGCTTTGTGTTAGCAAATTTCCACAACTTAAGACAACATGATTTTTATTGTCTTGATACATAAAACCTTAGAACTGGAAGAAGGTGTAATTTGTTTTTCTCAATATTGTACCCACATTAACAGAAAAAAAAGTTACTTTCATAGACACTGTATAAATGAAAATGGGTAACTCTCTGTAAAATGATAAATCTTGTGATGAAGACATGAGCACCAGTGGAACTACTTATACAACCCAAGCATCCTGTACATAATTGTTCCTTTTATTGTTATAAGTTATGCATATAATTTGCCATTTACACGCACAAAAAAATAGCACATCACAATATGTTCAAAACAACTCACTCACAGTTAGCTGGGGATGTGTCTCTAACCAAGGGACACATTTTAGCAGGATGAACAATAACAATGCCCCTTTTAATGTAAGTGCCTAAGTGGTAATGTCACAGCATGCACAAAAACAGGATGCAGTCATTGTTTTTATATATATGAATTCAATCTAAGAGAGCACATCTGCTGTCATACCTGCGTACGAAGAATGCGCTACCAACTACCATCTTCTTGAAATTAGTTTAATGAGCAATAACCAGTTTGACTGTTAAGTTTACCTACAAACATGGCTTCTCATCCAAACCATCAACACAATTTTTAAGAGAAGACAGAAAAAAGCACCAGTGAAATTAGTAGCTTTTTTTGGTTGCTACATTTCAGAATTTTCCAGTTTCACTACCCAGCCACTGCACATTTACAAATTAAATAGGACCTCAATTCTTTTCCAAATTTATTTTTTAGCAAAGACAAGTAAAAAAGAAAACAAATACATACAAACCTAAGAATACATTGCTATATTTAACTTCTTTACCATCAAGTATTTCAATAAATGCATATATACACACACATTCACATGCTCACACGATGTGACACAATTTCAAGTCAACATTATCAGACTCCTTAATTATGCCTAATCTGCTGGAGCACCATTAGTTACAGACTCAGCCACTGCAGGTTTCATTTTGGAGCACAATAAGCAGGTGCACAGAGACAAAAAGCAGGGGGGGAAAAAGAGTTAAGTATAACTATGCCGCTGTACTGCAGACCATAGATCTAAAAGGTAAAGTGGGTTACTGCAGCAGCATTGAGGCAGTAATGAAGAGCAAATCAGCTTCTTCGTCTCAGCCCAGATTAATTCCCTTTATGAGTCATCTGCATCAGATCTCAGTAAATCAGAAAAATGGTAGGAAAGATGAGCTTTGAAGAAGGCAGTAGCTCAATATAAATCCTCCTAAATATAAATTGCCATAACTATTTATATTTGCAAGCAAAGCGACCACAGATGGATCCTACCAGCTAAACCTGGCAAAGCTCAATTTTTATCCTTAACGTACAATGACCCCAGTTATTTTTTATCCACAGATACGAAAGCACCAAATGATTTCTATATGTAACTCTACACTATGTAGACGAATGGTATTTGACTTTGACAACATGAGGTATTAATAAAAAAACAGAAAGAGTCACTTCTCACCTCTGGATCTTCTGGGAAGATGTTGTCTACCAGTCTCTTGTACCGAGGCCTGAGTGCCCCGCAACAGCCACAAACCCCTGAGGAAGGAGAAAATGGAGAGGAAAAACAAACACAAGAGAGAAGTGCTCAATTAGGCTTGTGCAGCATGACTGATAGAAATACAATAAATCAGGTCTTTTTCCTTTTTTCTTTTTCTGGTAGTAGTATTAGTCTGCACTCTGTCAGCCAAAGTAATGAGGTAGTCTCAAATCAGCCACATTTCGGTACCGATTCAATGAACACTGCAACAAATGGGCAATAAAAAAGTCATTCCAGTTCAGCAACTAATGACTTCACATTATTGCTCTCACAACAGAAGTAATGGTTGAAAGCTGGAGAAAAATAAGTTACAGAAAATAAACATTAACTTTAACAGAAGTCATACTGACCTGTCGGCAAGAAAGAAAAAAAAACATAACTGCAGCCAGGAAAATGGACAAAATGGATTTGTTCATATTTGTCAACTGACAATAGTCAGGCTGTAATATCATTAATTTAGCAGCATACATAAATATAAACGCATGAACTTACAAATACGTATAGCCTGAGACAAATAAAAAAAAATGTGTACAGTAGAAGGTGACTTCATGTCAGCTTTTAAAGAAATTCCTATACACACAACACGCCTACTTCATGCGGTACGGGTATGGCATAATCACTCAAACTTTTGTTTTTAGCGTTAAAAAGATTTATCAAACCGAAACTTTATGTCACAAAACACACGTCAAATCAAGGCGATTCTGTGGAAAGACACTTCAGGACACCAACATATGGAAGGAATGTGGTCACCAGACAATTACAGTGACAGCAATGCCACGGAGATGAAACAGGCACACACACGCACACACACACACACCTCGCTTTCTCTCAGTCAAGACAGCCTTAAAGAGAATGATGCAGCACAAAGTACGAACTGTGAACAGTGATTTTTTTTTCTGACTTTGCACTGAGGAGAAAGCAAGCCAGGCAGAGAGGCAGAGAGCTGACATGATTGGTTGAGGGAATTCAGCAGTGATGAGTCATAAGGGAGACCCTGTGAAAATGAAAAAGGGACACCCTCCAAAATTCCCAAATTACGCTTTCACCTTTGAAGCATACGTGCATTTTTCCCCCCCATCTTACTTCCTTTAAACTCACCGTGTGAGTTTTAGAGTCATAAAGCTAGACGAAAAAAGTAGGTCATAATGCAGTCAGCATTGCAGGCAAGTAATGAATGGTTCTCTGACACAAATAGAGACAGGAGGTATTTAACGTTTATTAAAAGAAAAGAAAATCAGTGCACTAAGAAAGATTTTCATCTGCCCTTCCTTTCTCCCAACGTCATCTTCTTCCCTTTTCTTAACTTAAATTAAAAAGTGGTTATTAATCATTATTGTTGCTGCTGTTACACAGACTGAGCAACGTCTCATGAAATGGCAGTAAAAAAAAAAAAAAACATTCTGAGCACACAGACAACATTATTAGCGGTCTATTTGCTACACCTTTGCAATAATGGCTTCCATTCCATTTATAGACCATCTCCCAACTCAACACCAAGGTAATACATTTTTTTTAAACTACTACCAAAAAAGCTATTTTCTGTTCTTCAAACAACACCATCAACAACACTCTCACGCTATGCCAGAACTGACAAATATGACTTGCAAAATACTTTGTGAAATCCAATAAATAAGAAAAGCCTATTTATTTGGACGTGACAACATTTCCCCTTGTTAAATAAATATAAGTGATTATAATCACCATGCCTTGGTGTTAGCAACGTATCTATTAAGACAAAGACGGGAAATGTAAAGATTTTATGCACTCTTCAATATTTGTTCATAACGAGTCATATCTGTATAATAACGTATTAAAATATTACTTGGTAAATATCAAACACTGATATCAAACTATGAGTGTGTAACACCCACGATATAACCACACAAGATATCGCAATACCATGTTGTATCAATTCTTTCCCTCATCCCTAGTGTCTTTGTTAGTACAATCATGACAGGAAATGATACCTAATTGTGTAAGCAATCATCTTCATTGGGACATGTGTTGCTGCTTGAAAAACTTCCCATCACAAGACGTTGTTGGAAGTCAAATATGTGTGAGAAGAGGTCATGCATTACCTAAGTTAATTATAAATGGACACCTTTCAAGCCTGAAATGTGAGACACCTGTACTCCCAAAGAAACAGGACTATCCAATCTAGAACTTAATTGGCACAACAGGTGGCAAAAATAACAAAATGCACAGTCCACGCTCAAGAATAAATCATCAAACTGTAAAAATCAAGGAAACAAACATCAGCCAATGCACCTGAGTCACTGATGCTATCCCTAACGCTGAGTCCCTTCTCAAGACAAAAGCAAAGCTTTGGGTGGAAAATGATTTATTCCCAAGAGATGTGCATGCATGAGGGGGGTTTTTTTTCAAAGCACAAACATATCAAAGTCACATAGTATAACAACAGAAAAATTAAAAACAAAATATTTTCACACACTTTGTCTTATCTTGCATTTTTGGCCAACCAACTTTTGAAAACAAACACATTTAACATTTTAAATTAATTTCCAGTATTTAAAAAAAAAAAAAGAAAGAAAGAAAATGAGTGTTGAGACTATTTAGACTTCTGAGCACTGCTGCTATAGAGATCGTCATTTAGACCGAGCAACAAGGCTGTGTATCAACATTTAGTAGCCTTCTGCTACATTATCAGTGACCCACGCCTGGCAAGGCAGCTGCAAGAACAGATAAGATGTCCCTAATAGACCTTTTAATAAAGTTATCACTTTGAGTACTAAAAGCACGTTTTTCAAGACTCGTGTCTGCTCTCTAAGTTGTGTTGAACTCGGTAGGAGTTGTCATCCATGTGCTCATCTCAGGGAAGTGTGAGTCTACTCGTAGCACTTCTTCTCTTTCCTCTATCACTTCAAACACTAATGAGGCCTCTGCAACTCTCCCTCCCTTCCTGCACCCACCTAAACTCCATCCACCTCCTGTTCACATCCTTGCTGTATTGGCTCAGGGCATGAGTGTAGGAGTCAACACTGAATTAATAAAAAAAATACAGTGGGTCCCTAGTCTCCAGAAGAAAGGGTACTGGACAGACAGAGAATGGGCAGGAGAATGAGAGAAAGACATATACAGAGATGGGAGTGTGATGGGGGAGGTGAAATGAGATGTGCTGAATGAGTCACAGATTAGTGCTACTTATTGCATCTGCTCTGTCCAGGACAAATCTGTCCTGTCCTCTCTGTCAGCTGCACATAAAAATTTTTGGGGAAAGTCATTTCTAAATAAACTAAATTATGTAATATATTGGCATTTTATTTCACACACCTGTGGTGCAGCATTTGGATATATTCTGCCTTTTCCCTCCTTTTTAAAAAATTGTAACCAGTTCTCTTTACTTCAGTGTTAGATCAACTGACAGCTGAACAGTTTTTTGTAACGACACCAAACAGCATATTTGTTTCTACAACTCAACAAACTTGATGAAAGTGGCTCAAAGGGGCCGATTACACCCACAGGTCTTTATAACATAAAATTAAACTACCGCCATTTAAAACATTTACATATTCTGCTTGCACTCTAATTGTAATGTGTGTACTGCAATACCGCTTCTCTGAGGAAATTTCTCCAGCTGATTTGCTGGCACAGAAATTCCTGTGATGTTTCAAAGTTGTGTTCAGTTTCTGTTATAAGGAATGAGGGCTGTTTTGTGCTTCTGCTAATGATGGGTTAGTTAGGGAGAAAAAAAAACTTAGAAGGCAAAACAAAGTGGGTGCACAATGATTTGGTCGACAGTGGTGAAAAGCACAAAGCAGGGGGTCTCACGACATCCACCCACTCTGTGCTGCAAGGTGACAACACATTTATGGGCTGGACACCGAGCTCCTCCACACAGACTCAAATAAGGAATAAAACCTACACAGCAAACACTGTGAGCAACACACTGACGAGCTTGAAACACAGGAACAATAAATCACTTGTAGCTCTAACACTAATACAACGACAAGGTGAACATCTATCGCTACTAATTGGATGTTAAGCTACACAATCTTCCAGCATGAAGTTATGAGTGGATATATACACACATGTAAGGGTGGGGGGTCACCATCCTTCAAATCGCCACAGGAAGAAGCCAGCCAATCACAATCTATTTTTATCCTCCTAACAATGGGCCGGTACATTAACAGATTACACTCTCCATTTCCCCCAGGATATCAGCTTAACATTTCCACATTAGGGTGAGAGAGAAATGGAGAGAAGGGAGGACAAAACTGCACGTGGAAGTAAGAAAAATAAAGGCAAGCAAAAATACATAGCTACAGAAGACATGTTTTTGCATGATAATAACAATTTTTGAAAAAAAAAAAAAACAGAAAAAAGGAAAAAATCCTCCACCCACTTACACAAACACCATGAGGTGTTAATAACTGCACTGTGGGTTCCCACATATCAGCTGTAGACACTAGTGCTAAATAAAAAAATAAAAAAATAACAGAAATTATCTCAAAGGATGCTACAAAAACATACATGTGAATGCACAAGGTGGTGCATGACGCTTTACGCATCTTGCAGTGTCATCTGCACCTGCTGTCCCAAATCTGCTCTGTTGTGCCTGAAGTCACATGGCGGATAAGAGAGAATAAATACAGTCCTGACACCCAGCAACAACAATATTTAACACACTTAATATCTGCCTGTGTGTATGGAGGTGTGCGTATACTTGGGAAACAGAACTGCAGGTGCACATTCAGACCTCACCTTCACCTAGGGTCATGCAAAGCGGTGGTTTTGAAGGCCAACGCTGACACACAGGCATACAGTGACCTTGCTGTAAATATACATACTTCCCCAAGAAACACATCACTTCTCATGAGGGTTACAAAGCAAGCTGCCCTTCAGGGGTGTCATTACATAAGAGGGAGGGGGGAGAGAGACAAAGTCCTGCTATTTTTACATCAGCAAACATCTTCAAACGTTGTACTCACACAAAGAAATGCAAGCACACAGCAGAATCTGGCAATACGGAGAGCAAACGAGAAACGAGGAGTGCGTAAGCAAATAACAAATAATGAGCAAGCCCAACAACATCAACAGCTAACCAGTATGCACAGACGCTGTCACTGAGTTTGGGAATACTGTACAGCAGATGAGGAGAGGAGCAGAGTACATATCATAGAGAAGAGGGTGACAGCCTTTTGGGAAGTGTGACAGGGAATAAAAATATTTGGGGATGACATAAAAACTACTCAAATGTCCTGCTTATATATAACCATAACACTCCACCATACCTGCCCACCATATCGCTTAGGTATGTTTGAGGTACTGGAAAATATGGAATTTCATAAGGAAAACATCATATACATCAGTTTTTCAGCCAATTAAGCCAAGAGCCAGATTCACAGCACACATTCGATCAGTGTGGGTGGAAGCAAACATGGCTGGTGTAATCCGACCAACACACTGATGGCCAGACCCCGCTGCCAACAAATCTATATAACACAAGCCTGGTCCAACACACTATGAATCCCTGCACAGACACTATAAGCTGAGCACACTGTACAGCCTTCAGTTTGAAGCGCCTGTGTTAAAAATCCACTCCAAACCAAAACCTTACTCCATCAACAGTCTGCAATTCAAAGCAAAGCTGGCTACATTTTTAATTAACACTAATCAATTAACCATATATCAACATGCCTCAGTAACATCAGAGCCAAAATAAATGTCAAAAACCATCTGGGGGATTTCATCAAATCTAAAAATGATCTTATCAGAGCTTTTCTGTTTTTAAAGAAACATAATTTAACACATAGTATCTAAAATACTGAAGAATCATACATATATGAACACAAGGTTATAACGCAAACACCCAAAGTTAACCAGAGTTAGCAAATACTTAATACACTGACAGAGAACACACCCTGTTAACACCAACTATAACAGAAGGAAACATTATCAGTGATAGTTAGGAGTAAATAAGTGTCTATTACCAAACATAAACATCTTCAAAGCAGAGTCCCCGAGTAATCTATTACTGTAATGTAACAGTGAGTATCCTTTTAAGTGTCCAAGTTCTCATAAGGCGCTTTCAGGAGCTGCTACACTCTAGTCAGAACTGCTTTTTAATCGCAAGAAAGCCGAGAAGGAAACATCTTTGTAGAATGTAGGAAAACAGGCTAAACGGCGGATGCCTGATATTACTCACATGTTTACACAGCCCAGAATGCACAGACCAATACGCAATGGAAAAAGGATTGTTAACCTTACCGTACATTAGTCGTGATGTGGAAGTCGCTCACTACGGCCGTTTATGTTTTCTTAATGCAGCTTCAGTTCCTCATGCAGACACACTGCTGTGCCTAGAGGCACTGAAAATGCACACAAACACACGCACCGCTCAGCCTGGGATAAATGCCTGCACGTGTGCTTGGAGCTAAAAGGCATATGAATGTGCACCGTGATTGGTGCAGAGGCTGGCTCGCTGCTATGAGTTACACACGCACAGTCTCCTTGCCATGCAGGCACACACACAGTCATTCACACACTTGCGCACAAAAAAGGGGCTGAGAGGCAACGTCAGAGGAAAGCATGCCGTGATGACCTTGGATTTTCCCATTCTTCTGCAACAGTGCTCCTTCTTAACGGGGGCAGTGCAAATTTTGACATGCAAGCATGCATACAAGCACACCAAACTCACTTATAATCTACCTTTCAATTGCAGAGGGAAAAAAAGGCAAGGACTGACAGAATAAGAGCGAAATGTGCACCACAAAGATGAAAAGGGAGAATACCTCCTTCCCACACAACCCTCTCGTCTCCCTCTCTCCACCCCCTGCCAGCATCACTCTTGCCCTCCTCTCATCATTAATCTTCCCCTCTTTTCTGCTTTACTTAAATTCAGCTTTTCCTTCTGCACTTATGCAACCTTCTGCCACACTTCCTTACAGTAGGAAATGTGCGATTACATAACCATGTGTACTGATATTTGCATAAACAAAAGCAAATAACCACTCCTTTTAATGAAGTGACAGTTTACGTTTTCTCTTCCAGGTTTCATTTTCTAAAAAATAAAAAAAACAGCAGATAAATTCAACAGTAGGGCTGGGCCATATCATACCATTTATGGTAATACAGGTATAATGCTGGGCAACGGTGAGAAAATGAAATATCGCGATTGAATATGGGTAAAACACGCATGCGCAATGCTTTTGTTTTCATACGCACATGGCGGAAAAAGCACGGCGGCGACAGAGAATGAGAAGGGCGAAAGCAGATCGTTGAATGAGACGGATGAACCAGAATTGGTTTGTAAAAATGCTGCAACTTCAGTGGTGTGGAACTGGTTTAGCTTTCATCCGTCAAATACACACCAAAGCACTATTTTTGGCAGAGCATGCTAGCGGGCCGTCGTTATTACCATGTTTTTTGGAAAATACGCCACACTTAAAATCAATCCTTTTCTGAAAATCAGCAGTGCCCCTTATAATCCCGTGTGCCTTATGTATGAATTCTGGTTGTGTTTACTGACCTCAAAAAATTTTATGTGTTACACGGTGCTCGAAAATCTGTCAAATGTTTTAGTATGACTTTGCTAAGCTACGAACCTGCACCGCTTGATGGATTGTCGGAGCATTACAGCTATCGTAGGCAGGAGCCTCGCGCAGTGATGCGTACGGTGCTTCAACATAATATTACCGTATTGTGTGTGTATAACCTCTTTTTAATGTTTTGTGGATATTATACATGGTTATGCTGAGGATATGTCGGCCAATTTCCATTGGAAATGCCTTTTGATTAAACTGTCAGCAAGGAATTTGCATTTGCACTGTTACATTTTTTATATAACTTTAATGCACATAAAAAACAGCTGCTTGTTTATGTGAAAATACATAGATGGGGTTTATTTGCACTAATAAAGTTGTGGAGTTGTAAAGTTATTTGTCTAGTGTCAATTATATCGTCAGTTATATCGTTATCGCAAATTTTCAAATGTATGTCGTGATAAATATTTTTGGTCATATCGCCCTGCTCTATGCAACAGCGCTGGCTTCCATCTCACGAATGGCAAAGCTCATCACCAGAGCAACATAAATGCGCCACAAAAGCAGAACTTTTAAATGAATCCTACCTTTTTATAACTATTACCACAAAGCCATTAAAAAGAGATACGATCATCACATTTGTTCTAATGCACAAATTTGCAGCGGTTTGATCAGAAACCTCACAATACTGCAGTGCACTCATAAAAACTCAAGTGCACACTTATTATGTATTAAGTGCTCAGTCTCTCTGGTTCACAGTTTTCAGTCTTCTAAGACGATCTTATAATGAACTAAACATCTAAAATAACAACATGTTAGGTGTTTCTCTCTTATGTGAAATAGTAGCAGCTCACAGGGTTTTAGAATGCAAAGATCCATCAATCAAGCTCAGTTCTGCAATTCCCAAAAGTGCATTATTGATTGCCAATGAAATCAGCAGTTGTACAATTAATTGAGGTTGGCAATAAATTGATTGTAGTAATAAATAAAATCTGCCTTGGTAACTGGGCAACACTGTTTAGCAGCACCTTGTATTATTAACTGTGAACAATCTCAAGCAACTTTGAGAGAGGCAGACCCCAAATAATAGTTTCCATTTTCACAATGACTTATTTTTAAGTAATGTGAATTTGGGAAGTATGGTAAAATCCATGTATTCAGTGACACTAAGCAGGGTCCCAAAGACCACAGGGGAGGTGATGTTGTCACTTACCCTTGCCAACGCGATGGTCCAGAAGGGTACGACAGTCCAGTGCCAGCCTCTGAGTGGCCGGGACATCAGGCGGAGGCAAAGGCATGGTAGGCAACAGACACACACACACACACACTCAGACAAACACTACTCCTTTCATAGATACAAAAACCTTTCTTCCTAAATCCAAACGTATATAATATAAACAAAACTTGGTTTCTTGTTTAACAGAACTTGGTTTCTGCACCTACACATAAAAGCTAAACTTCCATCCCAACACAAACACTCAAACCTAGAAACAAAACTTCTCCAAAAACTTTAAAATAAAACTAAACTTCACCAAGACACCCCACTGAACACCAACTTGTATGTCCTTGTCACACAGCTTCCTTGTAATGTATGCCACTGCATACACAGGTTGTCCGCATTAACGAAGAGATTAGTGATTAGTCCTTCTATAGCAGCTCTGCTCCGTGTGCATCCCTCTCATTAATAAACATCTCACTGACACAATGGACCCCACTATCCAGCCGGGACTGCTCGCTGGGCGAGAGAGGGAGAAAGAAAGAGTAGGGTGGAGAGAAGCAGGGCAAAAGGGGCACTGTGGGATAGCCATTCAGTGAGTGGGCTTGAGATTCAAGGAATGCAGCCATGGATGTCAGCTATGGATGCCAGCACGGGCAAAAGGTCTGCAGGGGATTTTTGGTGCAAGTTCACACACTTGGCTGCAGGACCAGATAGATCATCCAGCCGAGAAACAACAATGGGAAGCTTCTATAACAAAAACTTTCCTTCTATCTGATAGCAGTGGTTCATCGTGGAGTGTATGTTTATTGGTGTATGCATTTTGGGCTCCTTTTTTTGGTTCAACTTCATGTGGAGGACATGATTTATTACTCTAAGCAGTGATGGAGCAGGTGTAAAATAGCTTGCCGTTAACGCACCTGACATGCTGAATATCAGTCACAAGGAGGCGTTGCTTTTCCAGGATCCAAGAGAAGGGCAGATGGGTGGTACTTAAGTCCTGAGCTGAGTCTCCACCACTGCTTCGAAAATCAGGAAAGCTGCTGGATTGTCTTCGGCCTGCTGAAGTTGGAATGCCCAAATTAGCGGAAGCACTAATATATACTGCTAACACCGAGTATATCCTAACCTATCATTTTCCTTCATCGTTTTCCTAGCCAGTGACAAGAATATGGTGAAATTATCCTCCAGCATCTGGACAGAAATGCGAAATCAAGAGTTACCGGTTAAATAATAACACGTTAGCATTCCCATTCAACAACCATTTTCTTCTACAGCACTCCAGTACATTTCCTTGATTTCTTTTAAGTTTAGACACAAACTTGTCTCTACTAGGTGTAACAAGCCTAACTCCTACGATTCAAATGTAGTCATAGCTCCTAGCGAAGTATGCTAACGTTAACGTGGCTAACTATATCTATAGCCCCCCGTTATTTATTAATGTCGGAAAACATTTTTTGCTTACCATGAATTAAAAAACAGTTAAATCCCAAAAGTATGAGGCATGCGGACAGGTAACGGTGGACAACTTAACTAAAGTTTAGCTACGCCGGGACATCATTTACTTAGCCAGACGGCTAGCAGAGCAGTTGCTCCTGGCTAGCCGTAAATATGGTGACAGCCCACCACTCGATTGAGCCTTTAGTCATGTTAGAACATGTACAATTCACACAGGACCTGCCCCTGTCTTTGAATCACTGGATAAATACTGAGAGGGAAAAACATAAATTTAAACAAAGCTTTATTGGGTAAGATTCTGAAAACATAATAAGAAATAATACAGATTTATTGGAGTACAGAAAAAAAATACAGTACTAGGCGTAAAGTTACTTAATCTAATAACCTAATTTAATTTAGTCTAGTGGATGTTACTGATGTTGCAAAGCAGCTGGTAAGATTATAAAAGTCAAGAGGACACTGGTAGTCATTATACATGACAAATATTGGCTTTTTGTTTCCAGAGAAGATGCCAATACAAATCATCTGAATACAAATTCAAACGCCATACAGTGTTTAAATCAACTCCTCAAACGGTTTTCTATTAAGTGCTGGACTCCACTGAATGATACACTACCTTTCTTATTTCTTGTGCAATTCCCTTGTAAATTTCTGTCAATTTACAAACAGTGGAACTGATAAAGGCTCCCTAATCTTACCTTTTTTCCGTTTACATATAGAAAAATCTTTTAAAGAAATGAAATGTGGATGCTATGTGTTTGATGCATTTTCCAGCTGCGGATGGGGCATCCTGCTTTCCAATAGTCTTTCATTCTACCAGTTGGTGGAAGCACTGAGTCGAGATAATTTTTTTAGACATTTTAAAGCTTGTTATCGTCCATAATCACTCTTTCACTTTAAGATTAACATTGCATGAAAATATTAGGAAGTGAACATTTAACACATTACTTTATCTGGCACCTTGTCAAAACTTGGTGCTGCCATTCACTCCTCGGGATCTTTTAGCCCCACTGTGCCATCAGTGTTTTATGTGGTGTTAGTTTTGAATAACATTTAAATAAATTTAATTACATTTAATTATTCAAATGCAAGATATGGCCATAGTGCAGGTTGTGAGTCCAAACAGTTTGATTAGGTGCTTGTACAGCTTTTGAAGCGAGCCTTGAGGTCTGAGCATGGAAGCCTCTGTAAACAGCATGGGAAATCGATGCAATTACTGGTGGCTTACCTGAAGGAGTGTGTGTGCTGAGGTCCTATGCTGCCTGCTGATGACAACTGTTTTCACCTTATAGGTGAAACATTCAGGTACTTGTAATAAGGAATTGGGTTCGCTATGCCATATGGGCCCTCAATCTTTGGGGGTGGGGAGATCCATTGAGAAAAAGGGCCGCCTTCTCAAAGTATTGCTCAACATCTGTTTGTTTTCAAGCTGCTGTTTGTGAGTGAGCAGTAGGTATACTTATCCTGATGCCAAAACGAAATGGGTTCATGAAGTTGCCGTTTCAGTAAGTACTTGTAACTGATAGTAATTAGTGTATTTTGACGCAAGAGTAGAGCAACATAGTTATCACATTAGTCTAATGCAGCCAGGCCTATTGGGTGAAGGATAGGTCTCAGCCTGCTGAGAAATAAAATATCTAATAAAATACTAAAACATTTGAACTTTTCACCACCATAGAAGGACTTGAGTTAAGGGCTTGGGATGATGATGCCTCAGTTTCTGGATATGAGGCGTCTTAGTTGGAGACAAACAGTACTCTGAGAAGCAGGCTATGTTCTCAACAGATTTCTGTGGTTGATGAAAATTGTAAAATGTCAGTGAAATGCTACTTTAGAGTACTCTCTGTAATGCTTTGACCCCTGCTGACCTGTACACTTCCTTACGTTAAAGAGGTTTGTACAACTGCCAGAACTTCACACACGTGTCAGAGCTACACTTCAACAGACAGAAATAGCTCAGTGTACAACATATGCGCGATCCTTGGCACACAGTCAGGCTGTTAGGTCTGTTCTGTTGCTGGTATGGCTTTAGTTATCTCATTAGTGTGTAGCCAGAAATGTTAGTCGTAATGCTAATTATATTCTGAGGTTTTGCCCATAGTGGACTAACTCCTAGTTAGGTGTAAACAAGTTTACAGCTCAATTCAATCAGAGTCACAAAAGAAAACCACAGACTGAACAGGTAAAGTAGATTAACAATCACAGACATTTGTATATACAGAATATCAAAAGCTGGGTCATTACTTCACTCCTTCCCCCTTGTTGTTTGTTGTGCCATTTGAGGAGTAAACATACTTAAAGGTGCCTTATTTCAAGTGTCAGAGAGCTTTGTTGATAAGGAAGCAGTTAAAGCAGTACTAATTGCCTTAGACCTGACAGCTATTTTTAGTTGTACCGTAATCAGCAAGAAAGGTCTGAGCTACAGCGTCACAGTGGGACAGATGGAGACTCATTACATCAGTCTTAGGGGGTTTGCATGTTGCCTGGAAACAATTAGCAAAGCAAGTCTGAAAAACTTTAACCAGCTTACAACAATAATGACCATAAGCCAGCTGGAGACATCAACCCAGTAACGGATTCAATCATCGCAGATCTCGTGCTTTTCTTTGCTTCTTTAACCTATTGCACACTCAGTATTACCCTGTACAGTTTGTGTGGATGTTACCATGAAACCTGTTAAAAGCAATAAATACATCCATATCCATACGACTCTGCATTATTGTATCGACATTATAATCAATCCGGTCCTTTTGTGTTGTATATGTTGCAGTTTCTTCTGCCCGCTTGGGCATCTCTCTCTTAAAAAACACATGTTTAATGTCTTTTTAGCAAAGTAAATAAAGGATATTTACAACTGACTTTGCCAAAAACTGTTTGCAGCTTCTACTTTGCGATAGGGATGTTCTTTCTGACTCAAAATGTCTCGATATTATTCATGAGAGATACATTTGACATATGTTTGACAACTTATAAGCTAACAAGTATTTACAACAGTTTAAATACAGGCAATTTTTCAGAAATACCGGAAATTAGCTTATGACAGTTGATCACTTTTTGGCATAATGCCGACCCTGCTGAAGGTGTTTTTCCTTCCCTCTGTTGCCAAATGCTTTTTCATAGGTGGTTGTGTAATTGTTTCTTTTTTCTTTCTAATATTATAGGTTTTACAATATAAAGCACCAACTGTTGCTGTGAATTGGTGCTATATAAATAAAACTGAATTGAATTGTGAAAAAACAAGTCTTTCTATTGTGTAACAATAACCAACCTCATATACTGTATGATAATATATAAGAAATCCAAGCAAAATATTATGTTGGTATTGCTCTTGGAGCAATGTGTTCATCCATCGGAATATAATTTAACAATTTACTTCATAAGAAAGAAAAACAACAGAAGATTTGCTGACTGAAGTCTTACCAGATGGAGTGTTTGTAAGAAATATTGTATTTATATAGAAGCATTGTCAGTAATTCAGGGTTAGAAGACAAACGGTAACTGGAGAGCTCTGTATTTCCAACACTGAGCTTCGGCATTAAATGTGGAAATGACTTCTCTTCACACAGACACACACATAGCAAGCAGAATTTGTGTTATCGTGGGAAACAGTATTTGATGATTTTGTATTAAAAGCTAGAACTTGTTCTTTAACAAGTAACTTTGGTAATTCATAAGATAATAACATGAAATTTGTATGTTTGTGTTTTGTTATGAAAATCTGGACCTTACAAATAAAATGTTAAAAATAAAGAAGAGCCATGAAATTTGTATTTAGACAGATGTGGAGTGACTTTGTACACCTACTCAGAAACACTTGGATTTTAAAATGTTTAGCAAAGGCAGCTTCGTTGCCTTTTGTTTGCTGAAGCACCTTGGGCTCCTGCTGCCAGGTGGGAGATGATTCAGTTTCCTTGCTCTCGCATTCAACCTCGCTTTGCCTTTTAGGCATTGTTTTTGCCTGTGCACTGTATGAAAGGAATTTGTCACCCCCGTGTCTGTAATTTCACAGACAGGTAGTTTAGTAACCAGAAGCCCAAAGGCATGAGGCAGCACTGCTGTTTTATTATTATTTTTTTGCACATTACCAGAAGTAAAACAAAGAGTGTATTAAAGTGCTATGTATCAATGCATTAATGTTTCCCCTGCTTCAATAAGATTTGTTGACTTGACCAAATGAGAGCACACTGCCTTTACCTTGGTGTTATCCTGGTGCCAGTGACCTCGGTTTTACAGGCCAGTGAGAGTGGCCGCTGACTAATTAATCCTCTTTGCACTCTTCACTCCTGCAGCTCTGCTTTGTGGCAGTTCTTGACATCATTTCAAAACAGTCCAGATGGTGACCTGCAGTCCTGAAAGAACGACTCCACGAGTCTCGCCAGGCCTGTATGTCGCTGTCCGCATCAGTGTTGGATACGGCATTGCAACGAGGGCTGCTTCAAGTTTCAGTTTTCCTTTTATAGGTTGTGTCTTAAATATCAAAGCCGATGAAATCAACAAAAATGGATTATGATGAGCTGGATGCACGTATACAATGGCAGAAACTAGGTATTGTCAGTGGATGCACTGTACGGGAAACGTTACAGGTCAGTTGTGTGGTTTACAATCCTTTTGCTTCTTTTTGGGGGGGGGGTTCCTTTGACACATTGTAGCTTACGGGGAGCTTATTGTCCGCTTGGGACAGCTGAAACTGCTGAAAGAGGAATGACAAAGGGATTCTTCTATTCTTCTACATCCCAGAAACTGTAATGTTTGTAATGTTCAAAAACAAATAAAGATGCACACTTAATACTATACCTAATTACTCATCTAATATGATGTGTTTTAGCATATCCAGTCTGTTCTGTGCAGATACATGATCTTGGTGAGAATCAGCCCGGTGGCAGTAGACTGTGAGTGGGTGGGACAACAGCATCCAGAGCCAGAAGGACCTGGAGGAGTTTAACTCTGAGCATTAACCAGCTCAGCTCTAAATCTGGCCAGATAATTCGTTGGAAAGCTGCCTTTCTTCTGGCACACACTGCGTAAACACGTGGAGCCGACCAGGTGGCCCTTTCTGGCATGGTTGAACGTGTGCAGCATAACAAATTTTATCTAAAAGAATAAGGAACTCAGACAGATTTGTTACTCAATTTATATAGTGCATAAAGACCTTTGATTATTAAATCCTTCACGCGGGGTATTCAGATGCATCAAACTGCAAAAATCCTTTATATTTAGCATTTTATGATAGTAGATGCATCAGTGGCTTTGGTACAGAAAGCCACCCAAAGTTCCTCTGTATAAAAGTCTATCAATCAAATTCCCTTTTCCTCATTTATTCAAACAAATACTCACACTGCAGGTCATTCATAGTGAAATATTTCTGTAAGACAAATTCATATTAGGCAAAATTAGGTAGATGAAAGATGAAAGTTGAAATGAATTAAAGTGGGTTTACTTTACATGTTAATTACTGGCCATAATGTCCAGTTATCTCTTTGAATTTAGTATTCTACTTTGACTTGTCTGTCAAAACAGCTTCCAAATCTGTGATATAAATAAAGTTGTAATTATTATTATTATTATAAAACTTACTGATGAACTCTAATGTTTTTTTAAGCAATAACACCAAATCTGGTCCTTACTGACTCCCCTTTTCCCTTCACGTTCCAGGCTCCTACCTGCTCCTGATCCAATACCAACAGCTGAGGTCAGCTGAGGTCGCCACCATGGTGACCTTCGCTAACACAACGCAGGTCTCCCCCATGGGGCTGCGTGAGCTGCCCTGTGTAACCCCCACCATGTCCCCTGGCCTGCGGCGGAAAAAGATGCTGTGGCAGAATGCAGTAAAACACATCATTATGCAGCAGGATCTCAGTACCCAGGTGATTGAGTTTTAGATTGTTGTAAATGTGTTCTGATTTATTTATTTTTTTGTGCACACTAGTATTGTGTACTGGAAGAGGCTGTGTCTGTCTGTATGGAGCTCTGGCCTTATGATGCACTTTTTATACTGCATTCAAAAGTGTACCTCACTAATGGCTATCAAGCACACATGAAATTTTTGATTCTTTTCAAAATAAAGCTATTACTCTTACCATTACAATCTAATGCGCTCTTACCATTATGCATATCTAATGTGTGTTGAAATGGTTTTGGCATTTATATTTCAAAAATGATTCACATTTACAATAGACATGTGATAATAAAGCAAGCCTCACAAGATCCTTCTAGAAGCAAGTCTCAACATTCAGCATCCATAAAGGTAACCGGTAGCACACAGACTCATTCTATCCCCATGTGGCAAATAAGAGACGAAAGCAAAATAAAGAAAGTTACAAGTGAAAAGAGACAGGTGTGTAGCAGCTTTGTACACCTACTCAGAAACGATTGGATTTAGGTTTTTAGCATTTTTTGCCTTTTTTGTTTGCTGAAGCACCTCGGGGTCCTGCTGCCAGGTGGGGGATGATTCAGCTTCCTTGCTTTCAGACTCAACCTTGCTTTGCCTTTTAGGCCTTGTTTTTTTTTTAACCTGTGCATGGTTTGAAAGGAGTGTCTCAACCCTGTGCCTCTTAATTTCACAGACAGATACTTTAGTAACCAGCGGCCCAAAGGCATGAAGCAGCACTGCTGTTTTATTATTATTTCTACATCATAATAGGGGTAAAAGTAAAAGAGTATTAGAAAGATATGCAACGATGAATTAATGTTCCTACTGCTTCAAAAGGATTTGTTGACTTGGCTAAATAAGTGAGCGCTGCCTTTACCTTGGCATTGGCATGATGCCAGTGACCTCGGTTTTAAAGGCCAGTAAAAGTGGCTGCTGACTAATTAATCCTCTTTGTGTGTGAATGTGGCTGTTTTTAGACTATCCATGTAAGTGTAATTGTTATTTTTGCATGCTGAATCTTGTCTACCCTGATTTGCCAAATAAGATATAATAGCCTTGTAACTTTTTTGAATGAAGGATCCTGTTTTTATCCTTTGACAGTTGGGTGTTGAACCAGCACGCAAAATCTTTGTGACAGATACCTACATAGAGGAGATCAACAGGCAAATCCGCAGCAAAGCCTCACGTGGGGTAACAAAGCGCCGTTCTTCCACGTTCAGAGTCCATCCCTTGGTTCGCGATTCCACCAGCACCGGGGGTGCTTTTAACGACTACTCCAGCGACGCTGACTTCTTCGTCCACTGGGGTCGAACTGTCTGTGGTGTCTACATACCCACGCTATTGCACACCTTCAAGTCCCACGACCTGGAGAAACTCTACCAGCAGCACTCTTCCACCCAAAGACGTAATTCTCTGGCCATCACCAATGTGATAGACGTGGTGGCCAAGCTGCACATGTTGGTTCTGTACCTGGCATTGGCGCCGGAAGCTTCCACAGACACTTTGCGTGGCTGCCTGACGGGCATGTTCATGGTGTTAGCAACAGTTCTGTGCTTCATAGTGTTAACCCACAAAGACTCCGTGTCCCCACAGTGGCTTCACTACGCCGGCCTCGCCAGCTGGTTGTCACAGACCACACAGGTGCTGGGGGGTCTGGTGTACGGACTAGAAAAAGACCCATCGTGGTACCTTTTGTTCACTTTGTTCGCAACATACACACTGCTGCCATTACCTCTGCTGTGGGCCATATGTGCGGGCACCCTGTCCTCAATGCTGCACATTCTGGTAGAGATAGTATGCTGCTACACTGATGCTTTGCTTCTGAGAAAGGTGAAAAAAAAAGTCCCCTTTGAATTTCCTTTCCTACTGTTACATTTTTAAAATGTGTATCATGCCGATAAATCAGTGATACACTGTTAAGGCTTATGGAAAGTTTGATTTCTTAGACTTTACAGCAGTGTTAGGCACAAATCTACAAAATTTGAGAAAAAAACTATTTCATTGTACTTGTTGAAAGCTCATGGGTCTCTATTGACATATTAATCAACAAATAATAAGGAATTAGAAACCCTCCCCCCAAGCTTCAGTCCAGTACTGTTTCCCCAATTTCCCCTTTAAACTTTTTTTAAAGCTTTTTTTCCATGAATTAATGTAGTATTCACACTCTTTCGATGCAGGTGGTTGCCAAAGGCCTGCTGTACCTGGGGATGAACACAGCTGGCTTGTTCATCCACTACCTGACAGACCACGCTCAGCGCCAGGTTTTTCTGGAGACCCGTCGTTGCATTGAAGGACGCCTCAAATTAGAGCAAGAGAATCAAAGACAGGTACAATGAAGATGGGAGCTGTCCTGAAATTTAAAGCCAGAGAATTATTTGTGTTATGATGAAAGCTTTGGTTGCATTAACTCACTTCCTTGACTCTCACATTGTTACACTTCTTCACAGGACCGCCTAGTTTTGTCGATCCTGCCTCGCTTTGTTGCCTTGGAGATGATTGCTGACATGAGTGCTATGGAAGATGATCTAAACCCTCAAGAGTTTCACAAGATCTATATCCACCAGTACAAAGATGTCAGGTATACATGCATGAGTTAGTATATTAGTAGTTAAATTTGTAACCTTGTAACCTTGACTCGTAAGATTTATAAGCCAAGTGGGTTTCACTCTGATTATCAAGTTGCAGGCAAACCTAATGCCAATAGTAAGTGTTTGCTATGTCATTTCAGACTTTTTAGTCCTTCTCTCCTTCTTGTAGCATCCTTTTTGCAGACATCAAGGGTTTCACTTTGTTGTCTATGAACCTGTCAGCCCAGGATCTGGTTCGAACCCTCAATGAGCTCTTTGGACGTTTTGACCGACTGGCAGAGGTGAGGGCCTGAGCGAGCCCTTTTTGGTTGATGTAAAACATCTTCCAGCTTCTAATGTCCTTCTTCTTCTTCTTTTATCACAGGAACACCACTGCTTGCGGATAAAGATACTGGGAGACTGTTACTACTGTGTGTCAGGGGTTCCCGAGCCCCAGCGTGCCCATGCCCGTTATTGTGTTGAGATGGGTCTGGCTATGATCAACACTATACGGTCAGTCATCATATTTAAAGACACAAACACAAGTTAATTAAAAAAAACCAAAATCACGTGGTTTTAAAATTATGTAAATATAACCTCAGCTAAGTAACAAAAGATTAACATAAAACAAAGCTGAAATGCAGAAGCACTGTGTGAAAATTTTAAGTACTCCTTTGCTGCTTCCACATGAAGCAGCAAAGGATGCTGCACTTAATTAGCAGCATCCAGATCCTGCTAATTAAGTGCACTTGATTAATTGATGATCAACAACTGTGAGCACCTAAGTAAAAGCAGAGGTCTGGGCAGTTTGCTGGTGTGCAGCATTCAGGTGTGTATCAATACATTGTGTAACACAATGCTTCTCCGTCAACCTTGAAAAAGGGTCCACCTTCTTATGGGTCTATAGGTATCCATATGAGAGTGTAAGATCCTATTTTTGTTTGTAAGACACGATCACTTTACCTCACAAAATCACCAGGTATGTACAGAAGCAGCTGAACTTCGACATGGACATGAGGATCGGCATCCACTCGGGCTCTGTCCTCTGTGGGGTATTGGGTCTGCAGAAATGGCACTTTGATGTCTGGTCCTGGGACGTGGGCATCGCCAACATGCTGGAAGCGGGGGGCATACCTGGGTGAGCACCAGCAACCATTAGAGAAACTCCTGTCAAGTATGTTACCTGACAAAGATGTGCCTGACAGGTTTCCAGGCTTTCTGTAAGATAATATTTAAGAAAAGAATAAAAAACGTGCTATTTAATTTCGTAATAGGTACATTTGGAGGGGGTATATATTTTCATCTGGTGATGCATTAATGATGACCTCTTGTCTTACATCATCCACAATATTTTTTAATTTCTTTCTGCATGAATTTTTCTTTCTCCCTGAAACAGACGCATCCACATCTCAAGGGCAACTCTCGATTGTCTAGAAGGCACTTACAAGACAGAAGAGGGCCATGGTCGTGATAGGAATGCTTTCCTACGAAAATATAATATTGACACCTTCCTCATCTGCCCTCAGCAGGACAGAGACAAAGTTAACCACATCAAGCCCCCCAAAGTTCAAAAACCAATTCAAACCTGGAGTCCGGACATACCTTTTAAGACTGTCATTGACATGAACAGCGTAAGTGCGCAAATACCAAACAGAAAGGAAGGTGCTGAATTTGGTGCCTTTGGTCAGGTGGTGACGAATTTGAATTGTATTATCTGACCTAATCAGTTATTTCTATTCTTTTCTTTTAGATTCTAGCTGCTTTTACAAATGGCTCAATGCCCACCCTTTGGCAGTCCAACTCGAGAGAGATTAACAAACGCATCAAGCATGCCATCGAGCTTCGAAGTAGTGAGCGTATGCACAGAGAGCACATCACACCACTGACCCTTGTCTTCAAGGACACAAACATCGAGGACAAGGTAGACTGTAAAGAAAAGATAGAGATGCAAACTGTTTTTTAAAGACGTAGCTAAAAGGGACATTTATTTTTCTTGCTTTTGGCCCATTCAGTTCTCCCAGATGAGAGATGAAATGTTCAACTCCAATCTGGTCTGCTCCTTCATCCTGCTTCTGTTTCTCATGGCTGCCCAGGCCCTCATCCCTGCCCCCAGGTAGGAAACTCCAATATGTTACAACTGTTAATTCCACTTATTATGATTCCATTAAGTCATTTTGTACCTAAATCCAGCTTATAGCATTTTAAATAAATATCAATTCCACATCAGTATAACCAGTATTATAAAAAGAGCTCCCTGTAGTGTTTTGACCAGACTTTACTGCTACTGTGCTTAAGTTTTTGTTTTTCTTTACTTTGGTGCCACCTGCTGGTATTTAAAAGAATGCACTGAGTGCAGTCACACTGGACACCTGAACTTGTTTTTTTCTGTTCTACACTGTATTAATATTATTAACATTCATGACTTCACTCACTTTCTTCTTCTTCTTAACCCCCTCTTCCCTCCCCAATCGTAGACTGTTCCCTGCTGTCCTCCAGTTTTCAGTCTTTCTGCTTGCCCACGTGCTGCTGCTACTTGTTGCCCTTGCCGAAGAGTTCAAGTGGACTCCTTCATCACTGCAGCACTTCTGTTGCTGGATTCATGAAAACAACAGTGCCCGTAACCTGTTTACTCTCATAGCGATCTTCATCAACTTTGGGTTGGCCTCTACTGACATGGTGAGAGTCTGAATAACACAAGAGAAGAGTAATTTACATAAACTGCCATGTTCTTCAACACGACTTTTTCCTTTGTATGTCTGCAGTATTGCACCTGGTAACTGACCCTTGTAAACCAAATGCACATTAATTTGCATAATCCTCTCTGAAATGCATATGCAAAAAGAGGAAAGTTGCACTTCCCTGCTGATATTTATAGCACACTTGGCATGCAAACAGGACAGAGGAGTGCAAGAAGGTAAAAAATGAAGTAAGGGGTCTTTCGTGTGATGTAAAAAGCCCATTTAGATATAAGAAGGTAAAGGGGTTCTTTTGCAGTGATACAATTATTTAGTAAACCTTCTTTTTATTAGAAAAAAGCACAAAATTAAGCAAAACCTCATTAAAGGTTTTAAATCACCAGTTTCAAGAAAGTTTGACTACCGGTTTATATTTGTTATGCTCTATGATGCAGAACCAGGTTGGAACATTTTGTGCTGCTTGCAGGTGTGGTGCATCCTCATGAACACAGGAGAGGCTGACATAACTGAGAAGACTGGCACAGGCTCACGTCCACTCACTGTCTGCTCTTACCCTGAGGCAAGCAAACAGTAGTTTAAATTTGGGACAATTATTATAGAGATTTTATGTGATTTCCTGTTGATTTATCCAAATGTCTGTCTTGTATTAAAAATACTAACAATAAATCACATTGGGTTTCAGTAAAATGAGGTTATTACTGCTTGTTTCATCTTTCCCAATTTGTTCCCTTTAGATTTTTGTGTTGAGCGGGGTGATTGCCATGGTGACGTGTGCGGTTTTTCTGCGTCTGAACTCTCTGCTGAAGCTGGCAACGCTGCTGCTAGCAGTGGCTGTCTACTCCTACCTCAGCCACCTCGCCTTTGTCTCACTCACGCGCCACGATACGCTGCACAGGTCAGTGTATGAGCAGCGAGCAACATACAAACTGCACAGCTGCTGTAGTTTTACTACACAGTGCTATATTTAAATATTCGCCTCTATACACAATTTATGATCAAAAGTTTTGGGCCACACCAGTTAATTGAGCCAACCTCATCCTACATTAACATCAGCACAAAAACTGTGCACTGGGAGCTTCATGCCATGTGTTCCAAAGCTGAGCATCTCCTTTAAGTGTAATGTGTAGATATATTTTTGCCCACAGAGTGTATCGATTTTCCTAATATACTTTGTTACAGGTCTCACTATGTCAGAAGAAATGGAATTTCCTTCCTTCTCATGGCCATGTTTATTGTTGCCGTCTTCTATAATGGACGTCAGGTGCTCATACACTTCATTTTCCCAGATTGAACTTATAGATGATCCTGTCACTATAGCAACACTTTCTGGTCTGTGTTATTGAAACTAAAACTGTTTTCTGTCACGCAGGACTGTGTTGCAGGTAGATGATGTTCTATCTCGCTGTATCTTTTCTATCCAGTGGGAGGCTACTGCCAGACTGGACTTCCTGTGGCGTCTGCAGGCCCAGCAGGAGGTGGCAGACATGAGGGAGTTGCGGGAACACAATGAGTGTCTGCTATACAACATCCTACCAGTTCATGTAGCTCAACATTTCTTGGACCGGAGCAAGCATGACGAGGTAGCTGAAACACCCCAAAACCTTTAGCCTCACTTCTTTTGACTCATAGTCTGGTCCACAGCAGAATCAGTCTGAGTGACCATCAGTGCTTTGAAAATACTGATTGGACCAATGAATAGCAACCTCTGTCTACAGGTTAACTTATATTGAAATTGTACAATTAAAATTAACGTTATGTAGTACTTTTTAAAATCTGGCACTTTCCTTTATTTACAATCCGATCATTTTTTAAAAGATCTCCAACCCCACTGGGTGATATGCAGCCCCAAACCATGACAGAACCTCCACCGTGTTTTACACATGGCTGTAGACACTCAATGTTATACCGCTTTACCTCATCAGTACATAGCGACGGTGATTTTAATATAATTTCACATTTGGATTTACCACTTTATAAGACTCGTTGCCATGGATATTCAGTTACTTTCCTCCCTGTTTCCCTTACTTATTAATGGCTTCTTGACAGCCACCCTTCCACTGACACCATTTTTGATCAGGCTTCAGTGAACAGTAGATGGATCAACTGAGAGCCAGGTGCATCTCTCAGGTCCTGTTTCTTCTTTTGTCGTCCACTTGTCCAGTTTTAAGACACATCATGCACATGCATGCGCTCTTGGTGCAAAAATACTATTTTATGACTGTCAAACTGTGTTATACTTTGCATTTTTCATCAATTCAACTAAACAAATTGGAACAAATGATGTGGTTTTATAACGTTGGGTGGCTCAAGACTTTTGCACAGTACCTTACCTGACTCAAACAAAGAGGATTTTGAAGAAATCACCCATCATGACTCTTCTTTTAGGAGCTTTACTCCCAATCCTATGATGAAGTGGGCGTCATGTTTGCCTCCATCGCTGGGTTCGATAAGTACTTCGAGGAGAAAGAGTTCAAGCATGAAGGAGTGGAATGCCTCCGCCTACTCAATGAGATAATTGCCGGCTTTGATGAGGTGAGTGTTGGACTCAAAATGATCATATGACAGTGGTTTATTTATGGGTTATCCCTTTTGGTCCAATTATTTATCGGTTAAAATAAAACAGAGACAGTGTAGTTCAATCCAGGCTGTGGGTTGACACAAGTCCTGCTTTGATAAATAGGATAGCCTCTAATTGCATAAGTCAGCTGCTAAACTTGATGTGTAATTTAATCTTATCTTCTAACAAGCTGTTTGAGGAGCCGTATTTTCACCATGTGGAGAAGATTAAGACAATTGGGAGCTGCTACATGGCGGCATCAGGTTTAGCTCCAGATAAACAGGTGGGAGATTTTTCTGTATGTGGTCTTATTTCCTTTTGTCTTATTAGCTTTGCTTTGATTTGTGGTACTTGTTATGATATTATCTCCTTGCATGAAACTGTATGTTTATCTTTGTCTCCTCCAGAAATCAATGGATGAATGGAACCACCTGAGCGAGCTGGTTTTGTTTGCATTGGCGATGCAGGAGACCTTGAAAGAGATTATTAGGAACTCTACTCAACGCTTTCAGCTGCATGTGGGTAAGAAGCTGCCCTGCCACAGCCCCACAAAAGCACACACGCACGATTTCTAGTGTTGTAGCAAATATCTGAAATTATTGTCTGGGTTTGGACTCATGCAGGCATTGCTCACGGGCCCGTGGTCGCTGGGGTGATCGGTGCCACCAAACCGCAGTACGATATCTGGGGCTCCACAGTGAACTTAGCCAGCCGCATGGACAGCACAGGTGTGAGCGGACGCATCCAAGTACCCGAAGCCACCCGAAGGATCCTGACAGATTGGGGCTTCGTCCTGGAGCTGCGTGGAGAAATATTTATCAAAGGGGTGAGTGGAGACTGACTATGAAGAGTAGTTAAGCTTAAACAAGTGTTGCTTATTTTTAAAACGCCACAGCATTGTGGTCTATAAGGTAAGGTTCTTAAATCAATGAATGACATCTTCGGAATTAGGAACTTTATTCTGACTTCCAGAAGGGGGGGAATTATTTGATCTCTTTTGATTTTATTATGTTGCATTTTTTAAGGGTGGGAGAAACATTTCATACAAAAACCTCAGAGTTTAAGGTGATTCATAATGTGTTGCTATGGCTGGATCCTTGCTCTAGAGGTTTCTGTTCGATAAACCATCTCAGTTATCCAGCAAGCATAAAAACATCCTGCCAGCAGCAAATTTATGTTCAGAAAGTTTTCATTATCATACAAATTTTGTAGAATAATCTCTGTGTCTAGCATAACTGTGACAATATACACATCTTCACTTTTTAATCTATGTTTTTCATTGTAGGTAAGTGAGTACCAGGGGAAAGTCCGCACCTATTTCATCAGGACCATGCGCAGTAAGATGGCCAACGATGGGACAGATGGCCGCCTGGCAGGGCAGACAGGAGGACGCATGACGCTGGCAGAGGTGGTGTTCAGTCTCGTCCAGGCCAGACACAAGGAGAAGATGAGAGAGGGCAACAGGAGGTTCAATCGGACTCCCTCCAGACTGCAGCGCTGAGGAGACTGTCAGGGTCAAATGGCTGCACGTAGGCCAGGACACACTGCAGCCATATTCCTTTAATGCTTTGCCATAACTGAATTAGCTTCACAGACAAAATACTGAGCTACCCGTGGCAGGAGCCCAAACCTGTTTAAGCCTTTATTCTTATTTCTTCCAATACTGCATCATACCCATCTTTTTTGGCATCTCAAGCAAAATGGACAAGTTAAGAGGAATATATAGGAAATCATCCATGCTCATATTTCTTGACTTCTGGACCCAAACGTTCATCTTTGCATGACACACCGAGTGGTATGTGGTCTGAACTTTAGTTGGTTAGGAGTTAACTGTGCAATTTAATCAAAGTTCTGGCCTCTTACATTTCACAAGTATGTTGTAAGCAGTGCAAAGTGCTTTTTCATTACTATTATTGCCATATCTATACACTATAAGCACTGATTTTAAGGTTGTTTTGTAAAAAAAAGAAAGAAGGAAAGAAATGGTAAATGGACTGGTTCTTATATAGCGCTTTTCTACTCATCTGAGCACTCAAAGCGCTTTACACAACTTGTGCATTCACCCATTCACACCCATTCACACAAGCACATCTTTCTAAGTGCGTTATAGCTAACACTCACACACAGTCATACTCCGATGGATGCATCGGAGAGCAATTTTGGGGTTAGTAACTTGCCCAAGGATATTTGGCATGTAGACTAGGGGAAGCCAGGAATCGAACCACCAACCTTCCGATCAGTGGATGACCTGCTCTACCACTTGAGCTACAGCGAAAGAAAGAAAGAAAGAAAGAAAGAAAGAAAGAGAGAAAGAAAGAGAGAGAAAGAGAGAAAGAGAGAGAGAAAGAGAGAAAGAGAGAAAGAGAGAAAGAGCCAACATGTCTTTATGTTTGCTGGGATAACACATCAGCAAGACTCCAGACCTCCAAGCAAAACACTACCTCTTAGTACAAATTCTCCTAGACTACAAATGGCCAATATAGAATGGTGTTTGTTTGTTTGTTTGTATTATCTTAATTAGTACATTTATGTGGTGAAGTCAAGCATTATTTCTACTTTATATCCAATAATTTCACATGTGTTAAAGAGATTTTGGTCAGTATAATTCACTCATGCAACATAATCCAAAAAGAAAGAAAATCCGTTTATTTATAAAGTGATTGCTGCTTGGTTTACTTTTGTAAATACTGTATTTGCATAGTTTCCACTGAGCCACTATTTCTTGTTTTCTATCTTGTCAGAGTCAGCGTTGTTCTGAATTTATGAGATTCAGAAGAGGAACACTGAAACAGTTTTAATGCCAAAAACACCTCACATATCACTGTATTCCTCTTACTGTCATGGTAAAAAAGAAAGCACAACCTCTGTCAGTACTAAGGTTCTTTGTGTTAGGACCTAAAAAAATCATTTCATCCTTACAAGATCTTAAATGCATTGAAATACAACCTCAGATGTAGAACACCACATGTAGAAGCAGTGTGTGAAAGTACACTAAGTCCACCTCCGTAACTTGTAGAACCACATTTAGCAGCAATAACTTGATGTAAATGTTTTCTGTAAAACTTTATCTATGTGAAGGTCCTCAGTCATCCAGGTCATGGTAATCCAAGGGGCTGGGAAAGAAAAGCGAGTGGACTCCTCTAAGTTTCACCTCATGAAGCTTCTTCATTTCTAAGATCAAATGGTGGCGAGTCCCATGTTTAAGCCCTGATAAACGTTATCAGTATCTCACATCCCTGTGGAGGAATTTTGTAATATTGTTTGCAGCCAATCATTTATGAACAGCTCTCTTTCAGCATTTCAGTCAGTTAAGGTCTGGTCTTTGACCGAGCCATTGCAACTTCTTGATTCGTTTCTTTTTTCAACCATTCTGTTGCAGATTTGCTTCTGTGCTTGGGATCATTTTACTGTTCAATGAGTCAATTACAATTTTTCCCTGTCACAAAGGTGGCTTCACATGTGACTCTAGAATACTTTGGTATACAGAGGAATGACTGCAACTTCCTGTTGCTGCAAAACAAGCCCAGAGTATTACAATTCCACCACCGTGCTTGAGAGCTAGTACAAGGTGCATGTGCTGATATGCTATGTTTTCACCAAATATGATGCTGTGCATTATAGCAAAAGATATTATAAAAGTGAGATATTTAATATAATAGTGAGAATAAGGTTTTTCACTATAGAATGATGGACATCAAATTGTTTGGAAGTTTCTTTATAAACTTTTCCGGACTGATAGGCAGCCTTTGCTTTGCTCCTTGGCATTAACACACACCTGAATGCAGCAGACCATCAAACTGCCAAAAGTTCTACTTCTTTATAGGTGCTCATACTCACTGACAATCAATTAATTAAGTGCATTTAATTAGCAGGACCTGTCTGCTACTTCCTCTGTTAATTCCTATGGAAACAGTAAGAGTGCACTTAGTTTTTCACACTCTGCTTCTGCACTTTGGCTTAGTTTTTGTGGACGACACTGTGTAATATGTCATATGTTGATGTTATTTTGTTGTTCAGCTGAAGTTTCGGTCCTAACTAAGAACCAGAGTGATTATGTCCAGATATGTAAAATGGTGTACTTTTTTTTCTCTTTTTTACCTTGATCATTTATTAAAATCAAAATCAAACAAAGATGCTTGGTTTCTCTTGATGTAGGAATGTTTTACATTGTAGGTCTGATTCAAACTGACACAAATTCACGCCAGTCTTTATTTTGTTTGTCGTTTAACTTTAAATATTAATGTTAAGCTCCTCTATGGGACTTTGTGCAGTTTTTAAATCGATAACAAAGACACGTTTAATTGTTGTTACAGTATAGAAATGTTCACAGCGAATAGTACGTCTGTATCAGCAAAACTTTTTACTTCATTTTTTAATATAATTTTTACAAAAACATTCAAACCAGTCCAGTTTCTATTAATAAAATCAATTGTTGCCATAAAGCTGGGTACTTTTAATTTTTTAACTCTGTATTATTAATTGTTAATGACATGAGACTCTTATTAAACTCTTTTTTCAAGGTGTATTCTTCTTGGAGGTGTGTCTTCCTTTCTTTGATAGTCACGACGATTGCTCTTGACTCCATTAGTTTTGTCTGCAGCCAGCGCGGGTATTCTGCAGCCGGCTCACTGATGCTCTATTTTGAAAGATGGTTCACCCGGAAGGTTCACAGAAAAAAACAAAACATAATCTCTACAGAAGTTAGCTCATCTAGTATCTAACACTCCTTTCCTAGACATAAACAAAGATTTCCTGACAAACATTGTAGACTGCAATCACATACTGGTTTTATTTTCCATTAAATTTTTCGATTAAGGTTCTGTAACATTATCTCACTGAATGCTGCTTCACTGTTGTCATAGGACAGAAATATATTTATTTTCACATTTTTTTCTAAAATTAATCAAATATAAATATATGGTCTATAAAAAGCCTTTATAAAAGCCTTAAGCATAACAGTAATATAATCATATAATCATATAATAAACATAATAATACTATACATTAATCATAATAATGTTAATAGTCACAGTGTTTTTCATGTATCTGTTGGATTTTGTATAGTACTGAAGAGAATTTCTGTGTTTCTTAAGTCAAGATGCAAATCTAAGCAAAGCTGAAAAGGGTTTGTTGTTGTTGTTTTTTGTTGTTGCTGTTGTTTTTTAGTTTTACACAATTCAGTTGCATATTTTAGTCATTTAATTTTTAAGGTATGTGTTAATGGATTTTGTGTCATTTTGATAAAGTTTTGAATTATTTTCCTTTAGATCTTAATTCAGTTCTGGTCTTTAGTGTAGGTAGGTACTTTATTAATGCCAAAAGGGACATTACTGCAGGATAAATGATTTAAAACATGTATGAAAACAATGAAAACATTGTACCACAGCACACAGGTCCGGTACCACGGGTCCGGAGTGAAGGCCTTAATGTGACACAGGGCAAACATTTTGTATGCATACACAGTGATTACAAAAACGATATAGCCTCTTTATTACCGATATTATCTGCAGCACATGTAGCACACCATGCATCACAGGCTCTACTTCAGAGGCTAAACTCCAAATTTCAATGTCTAAATCTTAAAAATCACACTTTAAGATGTATGCATGTGCAGCATACTGTCACCTTCACTCGCTCATATCTCACTCAGGAAGAATGGGATTGAGATTGCGAGTTTAGAGCTGTAGTTTTTCCCAGATGAGAGAGCCGCTGGTGCGGTAGGAAACAGAGACGGAGTGAGAACTCTCCACGTGACCCTTCTCTCTGCAGGCACGCGGGCTTCTCTCCGCCAGTGCGTTGATTGTTGCGGTTCCTAGTCACCCGAAGAAAGTTGTTCGGCTCGTGGTGAATTTGTGTAGTTCTGTTTTATTTAAAAAAAAAAATCAACTATGGCAGACTCACAAGAGGACAAGCTGTACAGGGTAGAATACGCCAAAAGTGGCCGCGCGTCGTGCAAAAAATGCAAAGAAAACATAGCTAAAGACTCGCTGAGGATGGCTATCATGGTGCAGGTAAGGTGGCGACGTGTGGAGGCAAAGCCGCTCCGTTAACTGGCTTGCTATCTGGGTGCTGCTATCTGAGTAAAGCATGCGGGCTGTGGTACGGGTGTAGTGGATGGGTAGGAGCAGACTGGAGAGTAGGGAAATACAGCTTATGGTGTGGTTTCAGTTGCGCCGAATCAGGCCCTCGTTAGCATTTAAATGGCTGACATTGTCTGTGCACTCCTGTCCATCACAAAGAGCCGCGGAGCCTTTTTGTCTCTGTCTGGCTATTATGCATCTTGCATTTCATGAGCTAATTTAATTTATGCTTGAAGGCTGCAGATATTCAGAGTTTGTCTACCCCAGAAGACAAATAATAGGGGAAAAAAATCACAGCACACAGAAGCAGAAATACCACTGCGTGGTAACTGCTGCTGCCCCACAGAGAGGTAATCACTTAAAGAGTCGGAGAGCTGCTTATGTGGCTGCCTGTTTACTCATGGTTGATGGGAACAGCTCAGGATTCTCAGGTCACTCAACTTTTCTCTCTAAAGACCTGCCACATTCAGTCTGTGTAATTCATACAAATCAGCAAAGTGTAAAGTACTTTTTGTGCACTTCATGCACCTTTTTTATGAATGTAGGGGTCACACAGGGCTCTATTCTTGAGCCACTTTAGTTTACACATTGTATAAAGTATGCCTTAGTAAAAGAAGAAAAAGATTTTTTTGAATCTTTGTATATAAACCTTAAAAAATGTGTTATGTCCTAAATATACAATATTTATTCAATTTTCATAGCTATACATGCTAGAAAACAGCATGTTTACATCTTATTTTTTTATACTGATGTCCATAAAAATGTCTCAAAGCCATGGGCTGTTTGTCAAAATTTTGCACAACCTGGATTTAACTTAAGAGTAGTTCCAAAGTATCTTTGTGTCATGTAATAAATGGATTGAATGCCCTACACATAACATTGCATTGGTAAACAAAAGAGATGATTAAATAAGTCTGGCAGGAAAATATTACCCTTCTGAGGCATCATATAACCATCGAGCTGGAAGAAGCAATTAGAGACGCTTTACACTGTAAAGTTAAACATCTGTGTTTTTTGTTCACCAGTCTCCCATGTTTGATGGGAAGGTCCCCCACTGGCACCACTTTTCCTGCTTCTGGCAGCGAGCATCAGCTCAGTCCACCGCTGATATCGCTGGGTTTTCTGATCTCCGCTGGGATGACCAACAGAAGGTGAAAAAGGCCATAGAAAGCGGTGGCGCCGCAGGAGGTCAGTACTTCAGTTTTATTAGGCTGTGACCCCTCGTGGAAATGGTTGGACGACTTAATTAATGTTATCTTAAGCTTCTTTTAGTTATAATAGGCAATCGGAGGAGTAACAGTGTTACTAAGCAGCGGTTAAACATTGCTATAGCAAAGAATCAATCAGTGCAACAGCAAAGACAAATCATAAAGTAATTTCACTCTTTAGTGTAAATGCCCTTATCATGAGAGGAGAACATAATTACCTGCTCAGTCACAAGGATTTATAGCAGTTGTTGACTTTGGAAAGAAAATCAAAGACTGTATTATATATTTTAAATGGTTTCCTGATGACTAGACTATAGGTGAAGCTTTGGTAGGCTTATTTAGAGCTGAACACTGAGTCTGTCAGTCATTTGAATGAAAACAGACAGCTATTTCAATTGTAGTTGGTCTGACATAACTCAGATTTAACCTATACATATATCTATACATCTGTAGACTCATCATGATATGTTTTATTACTGATAACTGAACCAGCTATAAAAAGATATACATGTTCAATTTTTGATCTTGTAGGGAAAGGTGACCAGAAGGGTGGCGCTAAAGGCGAGAAGACGCTGAATGACTTTGCTGTGGAATACGCCAAGTCAAACCGCAGCACATGCAAAGGCTGTGAGCAGAAAATAGAAAAGGTTTGGGACTGCTTTTATTGTCTGAAAACTGTTGTTTAAATTTAATTATTTAATCATCTGGTGGGTTAACTTTGTCATTTTCCCATAAATATTTGATCCATTTGAACCTCCAGGATCAGATTCGTGTGTCCAAGAAAACTGTGGACCCCGAGAAGCCACAGCTGGGTCTTATTGACCGCTGGTACCACACGGCGTGTTTCGTGAGCCGCAGGGAGGAGCTGGTTTTCAAGCCCGAGTATAGCGCCGCTCAGCTGAAGGGATTCAATGCACTGCGGGCAGAGGACAAAGAAGAGCTCAAGAAGAGGCTCCCTGCTGTCAAATCTGAGGGGTGAGCCAAAATCATTTATTCGGTTTGAAGCCTGGGATTAAAGTTATGATCAGGTCTAGCGTTGATCCCTGCTGTTGGTCTCATTTAAAGCCTCTCTGTCCACCACTGTCCTGCAGCACATAAAAATAGCTTTAAATGTGTCCCTGAAAGCCGTCATGGTGTAGGCATAAAGGAAAGGGTTGACAGCAGAGTTTGCGTGTGACAAGATGATGGCTGTGAGCAGAAGCTCAAGAGGTACATAGCAGCGTGGACACAGAAGCAGGAAGCAGTTGATTATGTGAAGTGGGATCCAGCAGACCGTAAAGAGGAAAAGAACCAGAAAGAGAGAAGTAGCTGTCTTCATCTCTCGCCGCATGCTGGCCGCGGTCCTGATTTGTCCGTCACCTCTGCCGCTTTGCTCAGATGTGATGCGCCGCACTTGCTGCTTAACTGTGACAAAGATTTGGGCGTAGATGAGGAACATGATCACCAGAGGAGTGAGCACGCAAGCAAAGAAATTGAAATAGACCATGTAGGTCATGTCCACCACAAGGACGAAGAAACAGTAGCCCGTGTCAGGCGGCGTCTTGTGCCAGCCCATCAGAGGCACAAGTCCGATGAGAAACGCCAGAATCCATGTGGCGAGGATCACCAGCACAGCGTTGCGAGGCGTCATCAGGAACCGGTATCGGAAAGGCATGAAGATGGCGATGTAGCGCTCCACAGCCACTGCCAGCAAGCTGAAGATGGAGCTCTGGGTGAACATGATTAAAACACTGAGCATGAGAAGACACAGGTAGAGATTGTGGCGCGGCATGCCAATGTCGGTCAGGATGGCACAGGGAATGGCGATTGCGCCCACGCAAATGTCAGCAACTGCGAGCGAGACCAGGAAGTAGTTGGTGACGGTGCGCAATTTGCGGTTGAGGCCCACAGCGACACAGACCAGTAGATTTCCTGTAGTGGAGAAAAAGGCGATGACGAGCTCAGCCGCCATGTACGTCACATTGGGGGAAATCACCAAGTCTTCAGGTGGAGGCGACGCTGAATAGGAGGCATTAGAAATGGAAGCAGATGAAAAGTTCTGGAAAGCTTTTAGAAAAGGGGGCAACAGATGGGAGGAGTTGCTTGTTGTTTTTTGGAAAGTGTAGAGTTGGAACAATGCTGTGGTGGCCTCCATGTTTGTCCTAAAAAGAGAAATAAGGTGCAAAACAAACTTGGAGTGGTAATAAAATGCATTAAAAAAGGAAAATTACTCACCCATCTGCAGCAGCTCGCATCTGTTTACGATGATTTTAGCAGAGAATCTAAAAGCTTCTTCAGTATTATTCTTTCACTGGCCGTCTTCACTCAGAAAAAAAGCAAACAGACTTCTGCTGAAATGCATTACCACATTGATTTATGTGCAGCCCCACCCCCATCCTCCTCCTCCCCATAGATTCAGCTGTTGTCTGATGAGTGAGGTTTGTCTGAGACTTGGATGGTCATTAACTGAAACACGTGTGCATGTCTGGTCTCCCAGGATGCTAAAAGCATTTTCCTCGTCAGAGCAGAATGCACGATATCAACACTGACACCTGGGGCTGTGCAGACATGTACCAACTTGCGTTTGTGTGTGTCCATTAACTGATTAGGCCCAATTGGATCTGCTTAATGACTGAAGGTGTCAGAATCAGGCTTGTTGTTCCTCATCTTGACTGCTATCCTGTGATCCTCTGAGGCTCATTTAGGAAGCTAATTTGGATGTTTTTTCACCTTCCTTTTGTCCTTGTTGAACTAACTGAAAAAAAAAACTTTTAAAGAAATGTTCTGTTTGTCCTCACAGAAAGCGGAAAACTGATGATGTTGATGGAGCGTCAAAAAAACAGAAGAGAGAAGAAGACGACGAGAAAAAAAAGCTAGAAGAACAGTTAAAGGTACTTTTAAATGTTACTTCTCACGTGTTAGAGTAAACTTTGATCATTTCCGATGTTGCATTAATTTGTTTGTGCGTGTGTCTTGGCTGCACTTCTCTGCAGAATCAAAGCCAGCTTATTTGGGGAATTAAGGACAAGCTGCGAAAATATTGTTCAGCCAATGATATGAAGGAGCTGCTGATTGCAAATGGCCAGGAAGTTCCCTCTGGAGAGACCAATGTAAGAGAAGCTTGTTGTATTTTGTGTCTAACGTACCATATTGGAAAGGAGATGATTCTATATTTACTGCTCATGAATACAGTTAAAGCTAAAATTTTCTGAGGAGTGCTGCTGTTCTTCTGTTTGATGACGAATGTTTTTGGACTTGCAGGTAGTTGACAGCCTGGCCGATGGTATGGCTTTTGGTGCTCTCGAGGCCTGTAAGGAGTGCCAGGGCCAGCTGGTGTTTAAGGGTGACGCCTATTACTGCACAGGAAACATTTCTGCCTGGACAAAGTGTGTGTTCAAAACCACAACACCCTTACGCAAAGACTGGGTCATTCCCAAGGTTGGTCACCTCATCTCGCTCTAACTATATGTAGACGTCTTTTCCACAGTTGCAGAACAAGTTTGTCTTTATTACCTTTTAACAACTAGTCCACATTCCTGTTAGCACAGCACAAGCTGGAGCAATTACTATGGCTGGATAGCTGCCCTGGACAAAATCTGTGGGCTGCATGTGTCAGTCTGTATTATATTTCTTGCAGTAGCCCCTCCCGTAGTCACTGAATCATCCTAAGTTTTCTGTGGTGGTACTGTCTTAGTTTTTTGACACCAACAACAGTCTTTCCTGGTGGAGCGTGTGAAACTTTCTAGAATACGTACTGTCACCAATGGCAAAATGAAAAGTAAATAAATGAGGTGGCCTTAGCCAATGAGCAGGACTGAGGAAGAAAAATTAAACTGCTATATAAAACTAATTTGTAGTTACCTGTTTGCTCTGTGTCTCTGAAATATTCTCTCTTTCCATTTTAGGAATTCCACGAAGTTTCTTTTCTGAAAAAATTCAAATTCAAGCGGCAGGACAGGGTTTACCCTAAAGAGGCTCCCACAAAAACCCTGACAGCAGCCAAATCAGAACCACTACCGAGTGCATCCAGCGCTCCGACCGAGCCACTGCCACAGGGAGCACCTTCAGGTGAGAAAAACTTAAAAGACTATGTAAAACATTAAAAATCTTCCTCCCTCTTGGTACCACAGACAAAATGCAATGAAAAAATTCTTAACATTTTTCTTGTTATTAACAAAATGTTTTATTCTGTGTGTTTTGTCCCTTAGACAAGCCTCTTACTGGCATGAAGCTGCTGACTGTGGGCAAGCTGACTAAGAACAAGGATGATCTGAAAGCTGCTGTGGAAGAGCTCGGTGGAAAGATTACCGGCACAGTCAACAAGGCCTCATTGTGTATAAGCACCAAGAGTGAGTAACGATTTGTTAAAGAGAGAATTATCACAAGTACTCTCAGTAAGAAAAGGAATGATATAACATCAAACTTTGCCATGTATTGACAGAGGAGGTGGAGAAGATGAGTAAGAAGATGGAGGAAGTAAGGGACGCTGGCGTGCGTGTGGTCTCTGAGGATTTCCTCACTGACATCAAGTCATCGGGCAAAGCCCTCCAGGAGCTGGTCTCCCTGCACGCCATCTCCCCCTGGGGGGCAGAGGTTAAAGTCGAAGCTCAGGCTCCATCTGTGGCCTCCAAGTCTGGAACACAGGCTACTAAGAGCACAGGGAGGGTGAAAGAGGAGGAAGGTAAAGGGCACTTGATGTGGAAATACTGAATGAATGCATTAGAACAATTGCGGCGGTATACAATGTGACATTTAGTGCATACATTAAACAGTTGTGGCATTACAGGTGGTAGCAAATCCAAGAAGATGAAACTCACAGTCAAAGGTGGAGCTGCTGTGGATCCAGACTCAGGTAGTCATTAGTACCATCGACTGAAAATGCTTCATTTCTCTTTTTTTTCCCCCCCACAATTTTAATTAATTATTATTTTTTTCCCAGGTCTGGAGAACAGTGCTCATGTCTTGGAGCAGAATGGGAAGATGTACAGTGCTACACTCGGTCTTGTGGATATTGTCAGAGGAACTAACTCTTACTATAAACTGCAGCTGCTTGAGGATGATGTACAGAAGCGGTAATCGGACCTCTTTGTGTTGGCTGCAGTTAGGCTTTGCTTATTGTTTACCATTTCCCCCCATTCGTGGAAATGTTATCTATCCAGACACTAACTCATGTATCTCTTCCCTTTGTGACATGCGTATAGGTACTGGGTGTTCAGGTCATGGGGCAGAGTGGGTACAACTATCGGAGGAAACAAGTTGGACAAATTCCATGACAAGAACTCTGCTCTGGATAATTTCCTGGGTGTGTACAAGGAGAAGACGGGCAATGACTGGGGCTCGTCCAACTTCACCAAATATCCCAATAAGTTCTACCCGCTGGAGATTGACTACGGACAGGTACACATACACAGTAATAAGTCAACATCTCGTCTGACATGTTGTGGATTTTTAATTCCTTAGTGACCCCTTGTGTTTCTGTGCAGGATGAGGAGGCAGTGAAGAGGCTGACAGCCACGGCTGGCACCAAGTCAAAGCTGGCCAAACCTGTCCAGGAGCTAATCAAGATGATCTTTGATGTAGAAAGCATGAAGAAGGCCATGGTCGAGTTTGAGGTAAGACTTGCCTACCACACACTGAAATCAGGATCTTCCAGTTCTTTGGGTTATTTTTACCATTTCGCCCGATGTGGTATTTACTTCACATTGTCGCAAGTTCATTCATTCAAGTCAGATGGATAAAACATATGCAGTATACAGTAATATTTTGACTTAGAAGTACAACTTTAAGAAGTATATTAAAAAACCCAAAAAATCCTGCCTGATGCTGTAGATTGACGTCTGGATAAATGTAAATGTGCTTTAGTTTTTGACATTTTAGGCTGTTGTCACAGACATAAAAATAATTTACTGATGTTTAAGAGATTAAACAATTTAAGGAAAATACTCGTCTTCATTCACAAAGAACATTTTAAGTGCTTTTTATTTTAGCAGCAGATTAGATAACTCTTCTAATACAATAAGTTAATTTATAATGATGTTAAGTGCTCTGTGAGCATTACTACTTATTATTACCCCTCAGCTGTAAAAGGCTGACCCTGCTGGGCGTTGGGCAGCTGGCTTTGAAACGCAAGGTTGCGAATGTCATAACTTGAGAACAAGGCAACATAGGATTTTGAAAATGATACCATACTGGAACTACTAGAATGCTGAGGGGTAGCACTGGCATCCACCAGTATTTTTGCACTTGACAGGCTCATTTATTCTTCTTCTGTCTGCAGATTGACCTCCAGAAGATGCCACTCGGTAAGCTGAGCAAGAGGCAAATCCAGAGTGCCTATGCGCTCCTCACTGAAGTACAGCAGGTCAGTGACAGTCAACAGCTCCTCTGAGAGTTGCATCGGTATTTATGTTGGATTCCTCTTTATATAACTCTGTAATGCTTTGAAATCCATTTTAATACTATCGTTTGGCATGAATTTTGGACATAACAACTACCTTCTGTACCAGTGGTTGGATGAGATCTGTGCAGCTCCTGATCATGCAACGTTTACATTTTTAACTTACTTTTGTTAAAGGCTGTGTCAGAGTGTGTGTCTGAGGCGCAGATACTGGATCTCTCCAATCGCTTTTATACCCTAATACCTCATGACTTTGGCATGAAGAAGCCTCCACTGCTCAACAACCTGGACTACATTCAAGTAAGGACTCATAAACTGCCCAATCTAGAGTTTGACCTTTCTTTGTCATGTCACCACTAAGCCTAATGCAGAGTTTAAAAAGGTGGATCTGTAAATGCATCACTGTTTTAGGCTAAAGTTCAGATGTTGGACAACCTGTTGGATATTGAAGTGGCTTACAGCTTACTGAGAGGAGGAGCCCAAGACAATGAGAAAGACCCCATCGACATAAACTATGAGAAACTCAAGACAAAGATTGAGGTAAGGAGCACAGCTCTTTAGAGAGTAAAGTTTTGTTCTTAATCATCAACGGTGGGCAAGATTTCATTTTTGCCCTGATGATCGATTTAAGTTTTGAAATGTAAAAACAAAAAAATGCATGTGACACATCTGTTGCTTTACAGGTTGTTGACAAGACCACAAGTGAAGCTGAGATCATCGTGCAATACGTTAAGAACACCCACGCTGCTACGCACAACACGTACACACTGGAAGTACAAGAGGCAAGTCTTTTTTTTTCCTTTTTTTTTTTGAATTTATTGATTGATTAACTTGGTAAAAATGGGTTTAAGCAGGACAACCGCTTCATTTTAATGGCTTTAATAGATTTGGAATCTTAGTTTGTCTTCTGATTGTGTTTCTGTATTTTAGATATTTAAAATTGTCAGAGAGGGAGAGCACCAGCGATACCGTCCATTCGAGGAGCTGCACAATCGCCAGCTATTGTGGCACGGCTCTCGAACCACCAACTACGCCGGTATTCTGTCTCAGGGTCTCCGCATCGCCCCTCCAGAAGCCCCAGTGGTGAGTGTTGTTTTGAAACCAGGTTGATGATAAGATGTGAAGAATTAAAAACCTCTCCTTCTAATAAATGCCCCAACTTTACCCATAGTTTCTAGCGTTTAGTCCTGCATAACATTACAGTCCTGCTTAATTTTCTCCAGACTGGTTACATGTTTGGCAAAGGTGTGTACTTTGCTGACATGGTGTCCAAGAGTGCGAACTACTGCCATACCTCCCAGTCAGATCCTGTGGGCCTCATTCTGCTCGGCGAGGTTGCTCTAGGAAACATGTAAGTGACGGTCTGAATGCAAAAATAGATATATTTCATCCTTTGAAATGTTGGCCTGACTGTGTAAATAAATGCAACCTCCTTTTTAACTAATGCAGGCATGAACTGAAGAAGGCTTCTCATATTACAAAATTACCTAAGGGCAAGCACAGTGTTAAAGGTGAGAGACATAATGGGTTGCAGCATTTTAATTGGTATTATTTTTCTAAGTGTTTGGTTCACATGGCAAACATTGTGCTTAAAGCTTTGTATTTCTGTTTAGTCTGTGTCCCTAACTGTAATTTAGATCCACGCTTTTCAGCGTAGTTCTTAACAACGCGATGAAATTCATCCCAGCAGGAAATATTTACCTTTGTCTCTGTCAGTTTTTAAAACTGCGTGTATGTGCGTGCATTTAATAATATTCACTTTTGGGGTTTTTTTATTACAGGTTTGGGTAGAACTGCTCCCGATCCAAATGCCACTGTCACTTTAAATGGAGTGCAAGTGCCTCTGGGAAAAGGAGTCCACACTAATATTGATGACACAAGTCTGCTGTACAACGAGTATCCTCTAATATTAGTTTGTTTGGTTATATGTGTAATGATTTTTTTTTTACCTGCTTGTCTGTACATAACCTGTGCAGTTAAAAAAGTGAGTAAAATTTGTTACATTTCTATCTTACAGTCACCGGCCATTTCATTAGGTGTATCTGTTCATTTGTCATTAATACAAAATCTAATGATCCAGTCACATAGCAGCAACTCTGTGCATTTACACATCAAAGATCAAAGAGAGGTTTACAATAGGGAAGGTAAGTTAAGTCACTTTCAACATGCAGTACAAGTAAGGTATAATAAATAAAAGACCAATGAGTTCACCCATGGAAACAGTTTTATAGCTTTCCGTCTTTTAATAGGTGAATATTGTCCAACCTACTTTTCATTGTGTAGCTCACCCAGCTGTCATGCATAAATCGACTCATTTGCACTGCTTATAGCAGTGAAGACATGAAGATGAGACAGTTGAAGGGTTGTGTTTATGTCCTAACAGCAGTCACCACAAAATAAATTGTCAGGGTATTTGTGTTTTCAGCTTAATTTGTATCTGTACCACCTGTTTTCTTTAACCGTGCTCCCTCAGGTACATCGTGTATGATGTAGCACAGGTAAATCTGAAGTATCTTCTGAAGATCAAGTTTAACTACCAGACATCCCTGTGGTGAGAGGGGCTGCGCACGAAGCTTCTTCATAAAGAAAGAAAAAAAAGACCACTGTTGCCTCCAAAATGCTTGGGCTTCATTCTCTGCAACCGAAGATGTTTAAAAAAGGAGTGATACTAAACCGTCCTTCATGGTGGATCCTTGGAAATCTCTTGTCACTTTATTGTGTTTTCACCAGGTTTATTAAGTGGCAGGCTTCCTTAGTAATACATTAGGTACCTAAATACTGGCTTCTTCACATTGCGTACATCAGTACCTGGAGAGGTCTGGTGACAACTTCAGAAAGTGTTGGTAGTCTGTCACTGCAGAAGGATCTTATTTTCCTGTAGTTCATAAGGTATAGCCCTGCAAGTTTAGGAGTGTTCAAGAGCCAGTCTGCAAACATACACAAACCAATAATTTGCTGTGAATCCACAGTAAAGTGAAGACTAAGATACTGTAAGCATTTTGACATGTATATACTTGTTTTGTTCGCATCTCTAGCTGTCTTCCTCACTAAAAAGAAAAAAAAATGTGATGAGTGTTTATGCAAGGCGCCCTGTAAAAGATAAAAAAAGGCCATACTAAGTGTTTTTTTTTAAATGTCTTTTTCTTGCTTCTCTCAAACCCAAATAAAACATTAGACATGAAGAAGGGTTTCTTTCAGTTTGTTGGAGAAGGCAAAAATCAAGGTCATTTGCTAAGGAGCATTCCTGGGAATGACCTTGATGAAAAATCATTGTCAAATACTTTCCTCTAGGGATCAATAAAAGTATTCTGATTCTGAAAAAGGAGGCTTTGGCTTCATTTTGGTAGGAGATTTAAGCAGTAGAAACTGTCTTGCCTCATTTCCCATTGGCACTGTAGGGTAACAAAATAAAGAGTTAATATGCAAAAAAAAAAACAGCAACAGGATTTTTTGTATTTAATGGTAACAATTTATGAGCTTACTAAAGTGAAAAAATTGGAAGAAGAAACTTACACTTTCTGTGAGATTAGAAACTCATATTTGCACAAATGATTTATTTATTTTTTTTAGTTTTTCATCTGCTTTTTCCTCACAGCTAAGAAAAAATTCTCACGTATATTTGGTTATTTACTAATTAATAGATAAATGGTACCCCATATGCTGTGTTTTATGTTGCGTATAGTATAAACAAAATCTTTCTTGGTATAACTGCAGGTAAAAATAAAAACATTTACTCAAGAGAGAACATTTCATTTCAAACACAACACTTTCCAAACAAAGACTAAAACGTAAAGGAGAAATAAACGATAACTGATGTGGCGTATGAAACAATGGCTGGTTGCTATGCTCCCATTCCGAGTCAAGTTTTTGATACGAAACGATTTCCCAAGGATTTAACTTCACATTTAACATGTAAAAGTTGGATGTGTAGAAAGTGGATGTATTTGTTTAGATAAACAAACTACTGGAAGCAGTTATTAAGCTACCATTTAAGCAAATTACGGGATTTTTATTTCTCAAATCGCCCTCCAGAGAGAGTCCCGACCCAGAATGCATTTTGACAAGGTCTTTGAAAAAGCGGCGCGGCTAATTCAAGATGGCGGAGATGGACCAGCTGTTAGACGAGAGTGAGTAACAACACAAATTCAAGGAGTTTTGCATTGTAAACAAGCAGCAGTCCCGCGGTGGTAAAATAAATAACTGGCCAAAACCCGATATCGCTGACCATGTAATGGCTATCATAGGTTCTGCGCGGACTTCATAAGCTCATTTTAGACGCAAACAGACACCGGGTCTGTCTAAGTCAGCTAACGCTTGTTAGCGCGAGAGGCTAACCATGGCTAATGTTGGAGTTGAACAAGTTACTCTAGCCCAACTGGGTGAACAAATAACGTTAGCTTAGCCCCGAGCTAACGTCTGCTAACCTTAGATCGCGTATAGCAGGAACAAAAAGGCTGCCGCTACGCCACTAGCTGCTAACAAGCTATCTGTTTTGCTGGACTTATTTTCTATTTTATTGATTTATTTTAGTTTTCCATGACACTTTCATCATTTTTAGCGTTCCTTCACCCTGGTTATAGTTATGCGTTATGTATCATTATTGATCTTGTGAAGGGAAACTTGCCAGTTCATTTGTCTGTTTACACCTGAAACGGTCTCTGGGAACTTACCTAATGTAAATAACGTTATTTTACAGCTCATAGCTTAGCTTGTCCGGCTCATGTGTAGATACGAATTGCCCACAGCTGATGTTACACCCGTGTCTGACAGCTCCAGTTGGGGGTAAAGGCCTAACCGAGTCCGCTAGCTTTATTTTTAATTCCTGTTCACCTGCCTGGCTGCTGTCAGGGTTTAAAGCACCATCTTACTGATTCTGCGACAGGTGAAATGAGCATTTCGTAACTTAAAAAGGAGAACACTGGCAAATAATATTTATCAAAGTTGCACCGTTTTAGATTTCGTCTATGTGGTGTTGCTTTTTTATGCTTTTTAATGCTCTACAGTAATGTAGCCTAAATTGTTCTCTTCCTCAGGTTCCTCAGCAGAGGCACTCGTCAGTCTTAAAGGTATGGATTCCCTTGTATTTATGCTTTTTACTGTTTACAAATATACTGGGTGCTTCTGAAACGTTGACTCGAATTCCTCACTATATCGATTAGACCTGTGTCAGATCACGTTGGTCAGAGCTCTGTAATAGTTTCTAATTGCAAGCTTACATGGCATAATGGTCCTGTTATTGTTTGCATGTGATTTTTGTCTGTTGGTATAGGGTTGTTAAGATATAATTACTGATTTAAAAACTGTTTTTGGTGTTCTTGTATATAAATATGTTGGTATTCTCACAGAGGGCAGTTTGTCCAACACTCTGAATGAGAAAAACAGCTTCCCTCGAGCTCACAACACCAGGGGACGGCATTCCTCTGTCACAATGGACACGGTAAGTTAATGCAATGAAAGCAATGAAAACTTCGAAAACAAAGAGAATCTGTTACACACGTTGCTTTAATTACTAATATGAAAAATATGGTATAGTGGTTAACATAGTCACCTTACTCCATAATTATGCTTCAGTGGGAAATTTGTGCCATAACTATGTCATAACAGGAAATCCCTCTAAAACCCTATGATGAAACCCTAAGGCATGACATGACGCACACCTCCACTGAAACGGAACTAAATGTGGTGTCAGTGTAAGCCGCACCTATTGTAATTGGCCTGTTCAGTACCATTGATTCCTCCTGATGCATTTCCGGCTACTTTTTTGCCACGGTTTTGGAATTTTTCAGTGAAAGAATACCAATCATGTCAAAGCTGCACCAGATCAAGTACTATCCACTGTGGTGACCCGTTGGGAAATAAGGGAGCAGTTCAGTGTATCTTTTCTTTCCTTTTAGCAACCAAGAAGTTAATTATTACAATGCAGTAATACAGGGTTTGATATTTAAAAAAAAATCACAATTATTTCTTCTTAAAATGAAAAGAAAGAAAGTCACTTCATCTTATGTGAGAGAGCTATGGCCGAAAATGGTAATGTATGGATATATCGTTAGTGTATGCATAGTTACTGCCCTTTGCTCATCTTAGCAGCATAGTTAAGTCTTTTGCAGTTCTGTTTACATCTCAGGAGTTGATTTTCTTACCTCCATTAAGTTGTTTCATGCCAGTGTAATGTGATGTGGAACTGGAAGGAAAATGCATTTCATCTCATTTTGCATGAATGGGGGTCTTTACATTTACTTAGATATTATTTCAGAACCTGTGTATTATACATGAGAGTTCCCAGAGTAACATTTGTGTTAGCCAGGCTATTTATAACGCAACATGCCAGAATTTCTACTGCTAATAGACGCCTAATATGGAGAATGCCACAATGTTATTTATAGATTGTTGGTAATATTTTGAATTTACATTGTTCTTGCAGCCTACACGGAGCTCGAAGCGGAGCCGTTTGTTTCGAGATGAAGATGAGCCACCGCAGCAGCGTCTTCCGTCCAGATCTCCACGGAGGAGCCAGAGAGTCACCACCACACCACAGGTAATGATTGCATTCTTCCTTACGATCACGTATATATTGCAGTTAATACATTTTCCTGGTAATGCTCCAGTTAGCACTGTTCATATTAAACTTTAAGATAATTGTGTCACCTGTGCAGTTTACGAGGCCCAAGATTAAAAGTAAAGTAAATTGTGTGTGAAAATAGTGCACTATTTGCCTATTTGCACTACTCTGCCTGGTTTACACTCAATGTCATTTACCCTTACCTGAATATTGTATATTGTATATTGCATAGCTTTCTTGTTAAATTGTATTGTATTTATTTAAATCTTTACTTTTTAATTATTTTATTTGCATTTTTTATTCACTCTCTTATATTTAAATGTTCATTTGCTATTTCATCTAGGGTTTGAGAGTAACGAAATTTCTATTCTCTGTATGTCCTGTACATGTGGCAGAATTGACAAATAAAGTTGACTTTGACTTTGACTTTTGACTTTGAAAAGTGCTCATCCACTTGGATTACTTGTGACGAGATATATTACACTTGGGTGTTTGAAAGTTTTCGTAGTATAAAAGTTCAACTTTGTTTGAGGTTTGTTTTGGTCCAAAAGCTATCTGTTTATACCTGACCTGTTTTTGGTACGAGTGTCTTCAAAGAGTTGAACATCATGCCAACATTAAAATAAGATAAAATGTGAGTCCAAATTATAGCTAATAACTTAAATTTAACATAAAAATCAATCAATAGCCAAAAGAATAAGATAGAGTTTAACTTTGGATATCCATATGTGTATATGAATAAACATACGCATATACACACACAAATATATAAAATCTAAACTAGAATTTTTTAAAAAGGCTCCTTGCGGGGTAATGTGAGTTTCAAAGGTTATGCTTTCTGACCAAGTTGGTGTGCCTGAGATTGAATAAGTTCATCATATCTCTACAGCATAACAGAATATGATTTGTCTAATGTAACCCTTTCCAAAGGAGTTCTTTAAAATGCCTACCATATTGTTGTTTATGAAATGACTGTTGTTTTAATGGTTTTCCTCACAGAAATTTTCTAACATCGTGACACCAGATAAGAAGGCTTCCCAGAAAATAGGGCTGAGATTAAGAAACCTGCTGAAACTGCCCAAAGCTCACAAATGGTGCATCTATGAATGGTTTTATTCCAATATTGACAGGTAAAGTCTGATTTTTATTTATTTATTTATTTTTGTTCCCTGATGAGTACACATAAATAAATGAGATAAAAAATAAGTTACCCACGCATAACTGGTCTTAATTCAGCTTATCACGTTAGTCAAAAGCAAATTGGTAATTATAAAACTGTTACTGTTGCTTCTCTTTCTTCCAGGCCTCTTTTCGAGGGTGACAATGAGTTCTGCCTGTGTCTTAAGGAGACTTTCCCCAACCTGAAAACAAGAAAGCTAACCAGAGTTGAGTGGGGTACAATAAGGAGGTTGATGGGGAAACCTCGACGGTACGCTGTGATTTTTACATACGTGTATGGAACAGTTTCCTTATGGACTTGATGTGTCAGGATAAAAAGAACTGGCATTACATTGCTGTGCTCTTTTGTCCCTTCAAGGTGTTCATCTGCATTCTTTGCTGAAGAGCGAACAGCATTGAGGCAGAAACGGCAGAAAATGCGGCTGCTGCAGCAAAGAAAACTAACTGACGTGTCAAACTGCAAAGATCTTCCTGATGAAATCCCTCTGCCTCTCATCATAGGAACCAAAGTCACCGGTAAGATGACTGAAGTGAGCGCAAGATTTTCAAATGAGCTGCAGTGTTGCATTTTACATTTTTCTGCTTTGCACTTTCAAAAGATATATTCACGGAATTGAACTTTAAGAGATAGAGAAGTTATTTTATCTGTCCCCTGATCTATCAGCCATTTTTGGGGAGAACTTAAGGATGACCTAATTAGATCAGTTTTACTGTGATTTACCTCACAAAACACAGGTTTGGTCATGATTTAAGAATTAATATGCTAATTATGGCACAAATGAAAACGGATCCCTCAAAGGTCAAGTTGAATGATTTTTGTATCCAAAAGATCAATGGTTAGCTTGACTGTGATGAGATGACGTTTCATAGAAACGTTATTTTCTATGAAACAAAACGTGTGTCCATATGCTAATTTGAGGTGCCCACCTTGAAATTGTGGTGATTGTACAGATCTTTTGTAGTATAGCAACGCATATTTGAAGGATTGTCTACACTGTTGCTTTATCAGTTGACTTTATTGGCGAGCATAAACAAGGAATTGCTAAATTCCTTCAAAGTTGAGGGACTGCAGTCTTTCCTAACAAATACTGTTTTTTTTTCTCCATACAGGTGACCCCCCCCTTCTCACCGTCTCTTCTCCCCTTTGGTTTTCTTTCTCTCCCTCTTTCTTTCATTCTTTCTCCCTGTCCTATCCCCCAGTCATGTCTGTCCCGTTTGTAGCAACTGAAAATAAAATAAATTCATAATTATAATAAAGGTCAATCAAATGGACCAATATGGCAAGGCCATGATGATCCACTTGGTAAAATAAATCCGCTTGGCATCTTTCTTGGCCTTAAGACAACAATTCTGATGGCTAAAGATCCAAACGGGACACACAGAAAAAAAAAGAAAAAAAAAAAGAGAAAGTTGAACAATAAGAGCACAAGACAGTGAACAAATCAATCATTTTAAAATATGGTACTGGAGTTGAATTTGATCAAAACTATGGACAATTAAAGGACCAAGAAATCAAGCCAACAACATCTTTGGATGGAAAAATAGCAAAGCGTCTACTTGGCTATTTCAGACACCAAATCAATCTGTACTCGTAAAAAGTCAGATCCTTTTAATGGTGTGGTGTAGGCTGTATCAGACTCCATATGTGAATAATTAATTTATTTGTTATTTATTTATTCAGGTTTAAATCAAGTGCATTTATCTTTGTTCTACAGCTCGTCTCCGAGGACTCCATGATGGGCTGTTCACAGGGCAGATTGATGCAGTAGACACCAGTGCCGCCACCTATCGTGTCACCTTTGACCGCACTGGCCTGGGAACTCACACTGTGCCTGATTATGAAGTCCTGGTAAACACTTTAACTTAACTCTCATAAAAGCTTCACTCTCAGTGTGATTTTGCCACACAGGAGAAGAAGAAGAAATGCCAATAGCTGTATCGTAGGAATTTCACAGGTCATATTATTAACCATCTTATTGTAATTTTCTTTTCCAGAGCAATGAACCTAATGAGACCATGCCCATTTCAGCCTTTGCCCAGAAGCATCGGTCGGCACGCTATATGCAAAGCCTCATGACTCCGCCTAGAGGGCCCTATCCCTCTGCTACCACTCCTGTCCATATGGTATTCTGAAACTACATTTACTACCATTTGTTGATTTGCTGACACGTTTGGCCATATTCGAGTTTTGTTTTTTCTTTTTTTTTTCTTTTTTTTGTTGTTTTCAAATAACTGCTTTGTTTGGCCTACTATACGCTATACGTTTTATACATTAATGCTAATCAGTGGGTAGACTGAACAATTCCAAGATGGACTAGTGGCGCAATCACTTAATTCCCCCTTAGAAGCTGATTCCTCTGTAAAAAAGCCAGTGAAACCTTTGCCGGACACCTTTTTCACAGCTGTGTATCTGTTTGCCCATCTAAAAACAGATTTCAAATGAAGATTGTTGATCTAACTGGCCTTTTTTTAAACAACAGGACAATGACCCTCTTATCACCCAGTCACCATGGAGGAACAAACTGCCCGGTGCTGAAGGAGATACACTGGGAGGATTTCCTGTCAATTTCCTGGTCCAAGTGGTAAGGAATTCCTGTCAAATTGAAAACTAAAAAGGTGACGTCCTTCAATGTAGTTCTAATGCTTTGTCTTGTTTTTCTGTCCATTATTAGACAAGACTGTCCAAAATCCTCATGATCAAGAAAGAGCACATCAAGCTCTTGAAAGAAATGAATACAGAAGCTGAGAAGCTGGTAAAGTCATTATAGTTAAGTTACTTTAAAACATGTTAAATGCTTCTGAAATATCCACATCAAGCTTACCTCAGCTATGTTTTTGTTTTGTGTTCAGAAGTCATACTCGATGCCTATTGATCTGGACTTCCAGAAGCGATATGCTACCACCGTGCTTGAGCTGGAGCAGCTAAATAAAGATCTGAACAAGGTTCTTCATGAAGTTCAGCAGTACTGCTGTGAAGTAAGTGAAAAGGCACACTTACACTTAAACTTGAAATATTTTATTGCAGTATCTGATAATTCTAGCATGTTTTTTTTTCTTGTTAGTCAGGAACGAGTAAGGAAACAAATGAGTAAGAGAGCCTTGTGTTAAACATCAGTGTACATCTTTCCAGCTCGCTCCTGATCAGGGCATGGTTCCAGCAGACCATCCCACAGAGCTGCGGAGGCGTAGTGAAGAAGAGGCCCAGCAGATGGTGCAAATGCGCATCAACGCCATGAAGGATGGGCAGCAGAGTGTGGCAAATCCCAGCCTCACACACCTCATCTCCCGTCTCACTGCTCTGCTCCTACAGATCAAGGTAGAAGATGTATTTTTATCACAAGTGTGTCAGGATGATAGGAGAGGATGTTAGGATGTCACACTCTGTGTGCAAGAAAACAATTTGTTTGAAATTCAATGCAAAAATTTAGAGCTTCGCAGCAGTAATTTGTTAAGAAATGTTGAACTTCAAGTATATAATACAATATATGTTTTATCAATTAATCAGTAAATATAATATAATACATCCATGACTTCTGATTTGATTACCTGTTAATCATTCATTCTCCTGGCTTGTCTCAGTGTTTGGCAGATGGTGGGGATCTGAATTCATTTGAGTTTAAATCTCTAACAGACTCTCTCAATGACATCAAAGCATCGATTGATCCCTCCAACCTCAGGTAAAGGACCAAATAGTGTTTCCATCCATTTCTAACAAAAGAGCAAGAATGACTGTTTTTAAGACAAAACTGAATATTTTTCTCCTTTATTATCTGTGAATCTCAAAACTCCCAAAATAGTGTAACTGTTAAAACAGTATAATCTCATATTTCATGGCTTTTCCTAAAATAGGATAGTGCAGCTATGTGGTATAAAAATAAATAACTTTCTCATTAGTTTTACTGGAGTCATATTGATTCCCACTGAAGTCTATGCAAACTGCTGCATGTTGCTGAGCAACACACAACATTTACACACTTTGATGTGAATGATAATGTAAAATGAGCCAGAGCTAGCTGCATGTGATTGACAGATAACTATTTAGGGCATTTGGTTAGATCAAAATATTTACAGCAGAGCTGAACAGGGTGGGGATGTTGAGTGTATGGCAGGACATGTGGAGAACCAGGCAGGTTGTTGGCTGTGCCGAGCAGCATGGGAACCCTAGCTGAACTGATCACAGTCTAGACTGTGGAGACTATTCAGAGCAATTACAAAGTAAAAGTCAGAGTAAGAGAGCAGAACTGAGGAGGGCTGCAGTTCTTTTACAATAATTAATTTACTAAAATTGGTTTGTTTTAGCTAGCTGCAAAGTTTGTTTATAATGTAGGCAGTGACCTGTCAATTTCAAAGCGAGGCTATTCTTTTTATACACACTTTATTTTAACTAATACAACATGTATTCTGAAATTTCCAAAATAATTTTGATGTGTTATGGTGTTGTTTGTTGTATCATTTGCTTATTGGTGGATGCTAAAATATATTTTTCCTTTCTAAGATATATGATGAAATAACAAATTACAATTATCTGCAATCTGTTTAGTGGTTCATACATTTGCTGAACAAGCAAAAGTTGCTGATGTTGCAGGACCACCTGGTTGTTCCGTTGTTAACTGTTCTTCATAACTTTGGTTATTTTTCTGCATTTCCAGTTGCTTCCAGAATAACGTTGAGATCCATGTGGCACACATCCAGAGTGGCCTTAGTCAGCTGGGCAATTTGCATGCATTCGCTGCCAACAACACCAATGCAGTCTGAGTACCTGCATCGTCCCGCCCACGCACAGATGCATGTACACACACGGAAGTGCGGTATATCCATGTTTGTCTTGTGAAATGGTGCTTTTACCTGGACTGTTAAAAGACTACAAAGAAGGCTCATGTCGATGCTGTGGATCTTCAATTTGAGTTCTTCCCAGATTTCCTCAAGTTTTGATCAGAATGGAGAGAAGAATGCTGAATATTTTACCCACAAGCTTTTGTTGTATCAAAATGTTTGTGCACCCAACTGAATGAACACAAACCCGAAAGAGTCTTAAAGCTTTTTGCCACGCTCCACATTTCCAAAATATTAAAACTGTTATTTATTTGGTTTCACGTGCCAAACATAAGGTTTTAACAGTTTTTATTGTCCGTATTTATTTATTTTTGAGTAGGTGTGTATGGTTATGCAACAATATTTTGCTATTTCTGATGTTTCCCTCTGTAAGTTGTGTGTTCTGTTGCTCCTTTAATGATAAGTACAGGGGAACGCGAAGGAATGTTTTATAATTAAAAAGTTATTGTAGATAATTGTACAATATGATTATTAGGAATATTGTCAGCCTTTCTGCTGTGTATTCTGAAATAGCTTTTGTAATTTTGTGCGCACTGAAAAGAGTTTTTTTTTTTTTCAGTATTTTTTTATAAAGGAGAACTCTGGGGTTTTGATCTTAAGTGTTTCCATATTTTACATCGGCTGTTGCTGCAACACCCCCCACACTAAGTCTGCATCACTGACCTTTAAACCCCATCAACAGTTCTTTCCTAGAGATTCTCCTTTTTTTCAGTTTTTGTAAAGTTGTATATGAGAGTGCCCCCGGGCAGTTGTATATAAATGTTTGTCTTTTTATATTAAACATAATATTGAAAAGCAGGTTTTGGCTTTGTTTCATTTATTAACAAACAAACAAATTCATACAAAACAAATGTCTTTTTTTTTTTATATATAGTTTTAAAATAAATACACTCTCACACCTCTTATGATACATGTAGCTTTTGTAATGCATCACATAAAGCCACTGAAGTTTGCCATTGCTTCATTTTCCCAATCAGAATCCGAGTCGGAGAAGTCCTGCATCTTTCTGGCGGGGATCTGGGAAAAGTGATCGAACCTGTCCCCGCTGGCCCTCGCCTGCGGATACTGCATTTGGCATCTGTTGTCCTTAGATGATGATGGTGTGCTGAAGGGGTTCTGCATTGGGATGGGAGGAATCACAACTTTCATCTCTGGTCCAATGGTTTTGTTTGGTGGGAAATTGTCATACTCCACCAAAACCTTTGGAGCTTGGCTGTTGGTCATGTTGGCGTCCATGTTTGTCTGGTGCTCTCTCCTGGGATAGAGAGGGACGCTGCAGCTCGAAGTGCCAGCACTCTGCTTGTGTCGCTGCATGTGTTCTGGATTCATTCTGGCGCCCTCCTTGTCATAGATGCGGGAGGCAGATGCTTGGGCGTAGCTGCTGGGTTTGCTTGGAAGAGTGTTCCTGTGGGTGTCCTCGATGCCTTGTAGGTGCACTGTAGACCTGAAACTTTCCTCTAGTCCAAAACCACCCATCTGATGTACTTGAGCACTGTGAAGATTGTCACAAACTGCAATGGAGAGGGGGAAAAAAACAACTAAGCAACATGTCTTAGAATATAGAAAAAAAGAAGCCACAAACTTGAAGTTAAAACTATAATGAGTGACACTGAGCAGGCTTGACCTGATGTTAGAGTGAGGATGTGACCACAAAACTAGTGAGTAAAGCTAATAGCTACCTTTTTCCGGAGCCATCCTGTTCTGGACTTGGATAAAGGGACCAGCTGCTGGCGTGCTGCTGACCTTTGTAGACGTTGATGAGCTAACCTGGCGACGAGACTTGGCCCTTCTGTTCTGAAACCACACCTACAATTTTGGAAATCCGTTAATTCACATCTTACCACTCCATAAATCCAATTTTACCACAAGTGTGGAGTAGCGAGAGTTTCCTGTGATCTTAAGTCACTGTGTTTGCCCTTTGACCCTACAAAATAAATCAACCAATTCAACAAAGTGTGGCGTTTAAACCGGACTTCACCTGAATTCTGGACTCCGGCAGCCCTGTCAGAGCCTCCAGTCTCTCCCGTAGGAAGATGTCGGGATATTTAGTGTCGTTGTAAACTTTCTCCAGCACCTTGATTTGCTGTTGGGTGAAATTGGTCCTCTTTCTCCTGTGGGTCAGCATTGCCACGCATTTGTCTGCCCTGGGAACAGGATTTGCGGGGTTGAAGTAGTTTCCACCGTCCGGAGGTCCACATTCTGAAAAGAAGACGCAGGCGCAATTTAGTTATCATTGCGTAAGTTGAGCTCTGAGGCAGCTGTTAGGCCGGTATTTGAAAATTAACTTTTTGTTGGGGTTAATGATCCCAGAGCCACCAACCTGGATTCACGGCGTTGTTCATCTGCAGAGGCCCTTCGTGATACATGTGGAACTGGTTCGCCTCCCCGACGCGCATATTCCCCTGAACTGCAGACATCCTTTCCGCTTTATCCCCGGTGACTGACTGACTGAGCTTGAGATCCGTGCGCTCGCCGGATTTAAATCCTCCTGTGATCAAAGGTAAAGCTGTCTAGATGTGTGAATGGGTCTGCCATCGGGGCCGACCGGCACTGCAGCGGCCGTGCAGCAACTTCAGACGTCTGCGGGCCAGCAGAGGTGTGAAGCAATCACACCTGGAACGATGGTCCGGCCGCAGGTCTGTTTAAAGGAGTTTTAATGGAATCTGCACGCTCAATACACATCGGCAGAGAAAACATTTATCCGCTTTGGCATGGATGAAGCAATAATGGACCCTCAGCCTTCAAAGGGAGAAAGACGGAAACGGCAATTTCCCAAAAAAGGTGGAGGAGTTCAAAGGACTATACCAGGACGCTGTGAGAAAACAGATATAAGCGCAAGCATTAGGTTTTTATTATTATTAATCTAACTCAAAACAGGGCATGATTTAATAATTATGTATACCCAACAAGACTGGCTCTTTATACAGGTTATTCTGCATCATGCCAGCATCCCAGAGTAAAGCCTAAAAACCAACAACAACAAAAACAAAACAAAGCTGTCAATAAAATCTGAAACTGCAGAAACGACTGTTAAAAGGATGACTTCTTACACCATATAAAAACCCTTTTGTTAGATGGCAAAACATTTATTGCCATCTATAACTGCTATTGAAGAATTTTCCTGGCAGTAAACTTCATTGAAGTGAATTTGCTGTTATATGTGGCATTAGTTTTGCTTCAGTGACAGTAAGAACAACCAGTTCTGCAACAGACCTTTAGTCCAAGTATAGAGCCCTGATCTCAACCTTAAGGAGTCCTTCTAGAATGTTGTGAACTCTCAAGTCATTAAGCCTTTGCATGTTATCAGATGATGTAACCACAGACTGTGGGGCTTTTTCAAGTTGTTTTTTTTTTTTTTTTAAACCTTTTAAACCCTAATAACTGACAAAATATTGAATTGTCCACATCTGTCAGGAAGGTTATAAGCTATGTTTGGAGGTAAAAGAAAGCATAGATTTTCCATGACTTGCCCCCTCACACAAGCCTTACTTTGTGGGAAATGATGCCTCCTGAGCCTTATCAGTGTCAACAAAGTGGATTTCAATACACAAACCACGGTTAAAAAGTACTTGGGAGCGGGCAGGTCTTATTGAATATGTCACCTCCGTTTGATTCAGAGGGGGGATTGGGTCAAGAGGTCAGGAAGCCCTCCCTCCCCAAAGACAGACTAAACAATTTTGTTCCTCATGCTCCACTTTTTTGCCTGCAGATTGAATTCTGCACTATGCTATGATCTGACAATGCAACAATTTCCAGATTCCTTGCAATATTTCCTCTCACAGATTTTACAGGATACAGAGCTTGCTGGGTTAAGTCATCTGGGGAGTGTAGTGCAAATTTGGCAATGTGTTTGTCAGCATTTAAAATACAGCATGCATTGTTTCCTCTTGGGGAGTACCTACAACACTCCTTGACAGGCCAAAATTTTAGGTGATTCTTCATATGTTAATCCGTACTCTTGATGGAGGTGCAGGGTCCTTTATTAATGAACATCTGCAACAATGACGGACCACCAGGGGACTCTGACATAACACATGCTCTGCTCCCTTTTTTAAATGTACTTTGATCATTTTAAGTCCATGTTTACTTGTGTGTGCATATTTAATGTGTGTCTTTTTTTGTTGCCGCGGCGTAACGGTAATCTTAACCTTTTTGATCTCTGTACTTCGACACTTACTTTTGTTCAAATAGGATTTGCTTGTTGGCTAAAGCATTCACAGTTCATAGGGTGCTTTGTCTGCGGGCCCTAATTGGGTATTGCCCCTTGTGCACAGACCAGATTGCTATGCTAAAAATCTGGGTCCTCAAGTTCCTGATGTTTTGTGACATTCTTCTGATGGACCTGGAGATCATAGCATGGACAATTTATTTATTTATTGTTATTGTTTTTTTTGTTTGTTTTTTTTTGTTTTTTTGCATTGATTTGTGATGACAAGCCATGGTAGATTAAAAATGCTAACCTAGTACAGCAACTGCATGAAAATTCCTTGCAGCTTTACCTTAGCTGTTGTGGTATGTTATATAGTTTGTTTAGTTTGGCAGCCTATGACAGACACTGGGCACTGTAATTAGATTAAAAAGCAGATCTAATTTGATTGATACTGATAAGATGTAGTTATCAGGCTGGACTACAAGCAAACACTGGACTAAATTCTTGTGGGGGATTAATACTGCTGCTCCTGTAGCCCCCAAACAAAAGCAAGTTCACACCTGGGCCAGGCCACTATACATTTACCCTGCAGACAGACAGGCAAAGTATTCTCACAGGTTTTCAGCAATGTGTTAAAATGTCACCTGTCTAATTATAATGTATTTCAGTACAATATTTGTGTATTTGAAGGATAATTTAAGGAGCTGGAGAGCATGTGCTCATTCAAAATGTGCATAAGTATTATCCAAAGCTTAGGCCAAGTCTTACTGTCAATGTACCTCACCTGGGCAAATGCAGCAACCATCATTAGCTATTTACAAATAAAACATCGGGGACATTAGTATAGCATAGTATATATAGTTCTCCAGGCTTTATGAAGGTTTTTTTAAAGTTTTTCTTTGGACATTGCCTGCTTTTTCATTAATTTTCTGTCCAGTCCTTGTAACTGATCATTTTCAGGGGATAGTTCTTTTTGTTTGTTTGTTAAGTCACTTTACACTGACCTGTGAATCATTCCAACATAATAAAAAGGCCCCTAAGTCAAGTATTATTGCACTATTCCCAAATAACTATTAACCGAAAATATGGCATATTCCAGCATGGTGTGCAGTGTGTTTTGAAAACTAAAAAACAAAACAAAACTGGGAAGCATCCGATTGGCAATGGCTTATTTTTTCAGCATGATGATCCCAAACACACTGCCAGTGCAGTAAAAAGCATACCCGGATAGCTCCTCACATCCAAAGAAGAGATCTGAATGTTCCTCAAGAAGCCTGGAGAACTATTCCCAAAGACTTTTTAAAGACATTCCAAGAAAGCTTGACAAAGTGAGTTCAAAATGTGTTGAAGAATAGGGATGATCATACCGGTTATTGACATTGATAGATTGTATCTTTATTTTGAACATGTTGAAAAAGTACAACAACATAGAATTAAAAGAGACAAATAAACAAAGCAAAACAAAAGGAAAACGAGCAACCACAACTACAAATAACCTTCATGTTCAAAAAGGAGCAGGAAGAAGCATAAGCTTATAAAATCGTTATATGGAAAACATGGAAAATCGATTAAAAAAAGACAATTTATCCATTGCATATTTTAAAATACATGTTAATTTTTATATGTGTCGGTTAGTGTACGTGACGGTTAATAAAATGCTGGGGGGGGGTTGTTTGTTTTTGGGCAAGTCTTTTTATCTGTTGGTAAGACCTCGTCATTATTTACATCGGTGAGGGGAGAAAAAACAACCGGAACTTCCGCTAGATTGAAACGGAAGTAGGTACGTGGCTGCTTCAGCTGACAGTCTACATGATGGCGACAGAGGTTCAGAGCGGCGACCTCGACAGCGCTACTTCTAGCCGGCTCGAAGTTTCCATCGATGGCCTCACCCTCACTCCGGACCCGGAGGGCGAGCAGAGCCAGGCCGAAGAACCGGAGTCCATACCCACGGAACCCAGCACAGATAAGCCGGGCGGCGCTGAAGGCGAAGATGGAGAGACTGCCAAATGTGCGATAGAGAGGAAATGGGGCTTTCCTCTGCTGGAGCTGTACGGAATGGCCCTTAAATTTTTTAAAGGTACTTCATGTTTGTTTCAATCGCCAAGCGGTGAGAAAGCTGCTCGAACAGTTTAAAGTGTGGCGCTCGCTGGTTCAGGCTAGCAGGTTGCTAGCATTAGCTGCTAGCTGTCACCACCGGGACTGGTGCTACTGCTGTCAGCCTCGGTGTTACATTAGCTTCACGGCTAACTAGTATCTAACGCTGCTGGCCGTTAAAGGGTAAAACAACCACGGCACTTGTGAGTAGCCCCTTTGTGTCAGCTGATTTGCCACTGTTGTCTCCTTTCTGGGTTTTTGTCTTTGCACCAAAGAGGAGTGACTATACTTATTACCAGTTTGCATATTTCTATGCATGCTTCCTCCACCAAACGAGGAAGATTTCCATTCCAATTGAATGACAGCTTGTTCTGGGATGTGTTCAGGAGCTTTTAAACACGCTCTCCCTCTGCTGTGACTGAAGCGGGACTGCATCAGGTGGCAGCTGCCCTCAAAGATTTTTCCTCCCAAAGTACTCAATGACAAGTTCCTGCTGTGCTGGAGGAATTATTATTCTGAGGATACAACTGCTGCATAGTTTTAGCTCGCCGCCCCTAAAAGCAGTTAACCACGTTTTCAGTCTATGGGGGGGTTTATGTGACGGCTTGACTGTTTTTACACCTGCCCTTTCATATCACTCCTATGTTGCTACTACTTGTAGTACTACTTTTATGTGTGCTCTGGGAGCCATTTTTAGGCCTTCTGGACATGCTGGGGTGGATTTAAAGCATATTGAAATACCCTAAGTAGTTGAATAATTGGAAAAGAAATTGTGATATGTGTGGCTATATTCTGCAGCCTGACCATTCTAGCTAGTTCTATATGTCTGCTTTACAAAAAGCCACAAATCCTGCAAAATACTGTGTCCATACTTTCCAGTCATCGTACACAAGTGTAAGCTGTATTGAACACTGGGCATTTGTGCTGTTTGTATTATGGCAGAACACTTGTGATGACTGTGCAAACAGGTCGGGGCCTGGCTGCCACTCTGCGTGATAGTAATCTGGGCTTTGTATCCTTGTCAGTGTGTCAGACAGGGTTAGGTCTACTTGCTCAACTTGCTCAACTCAGCTGCCTAAATCTCCCTCTTGCCTCACCTTAAATCAAGCTTTAGGTATGACTAATGTCATCTCAGTGTTTCATTCTTAATGATTTTAGCCACAAAGAAGCTTGAAAAGTTTAGAGTGGGAGAGCACAGTTAGGAGTAATTATCTGCGCTTTACAGTCTTGGCACAAGAACATAACACTCCTGTACGCGGGAGTTTTTACTACCTTGTTGTGCACACAAGCTGCACTGTAGTATTCACTGCAGGTGGACATTAACAGGATTGCCTGCAAACTCATTGCTTCCACTTTGCTGCCTTCAGATAAAGATGGAAAGGCCTTCCACCCGACCTATGAGGAGAAGCTTCGATTGGTGGCTCTGCACAAACAGGTGTTACTCGGTCCTTACAATCCCGATGCTTCACCAGAGGTCGGCTTCTTTGATGTCCTGGGCAACGACCGCAGGTAACACCAGCTTGTGTGTGTGTGTGTGTTCATGCATGTGACCTTTGGATTGTAGTGGACATCTCAGTGATTTTTGCTTTGTATCAGGAAATACACACTCGTGCATTTTTACTCATTAACAGTTTGAAATGGATTCAGACAATGGGTGAAAATCATCCTGTTCAGAATGAAATTTAAAAAAAATAATGCACCTATTATTGTCTACACCTTGACCTGTGTGCAGGAAAGAGTGGGCTTCACTGGGTAACATGGAGAAGGACGATGCCATGGTGGAGTTTGTCAAGCTACTTAACAAATGCTGTAACCTCTTTGCCCCATACGTCACATCACACAAGATCGAAAGGGAGGAGCAGGAGAGGAAAAGGTGGGAGGATCAGCTTCTTTGTCCAAGGGACATTCATCTGCTAGTGTGTCTTAAATTTAGTTTCTACCTCAATTTGCTCTCTATTTATCTAGAAAAGCTGGAAAGCTGTGGTTAGTTTGGGTGGATAGGTTATACAGTATTTGACCTTGTTAGAATGTTGTGATATTCATGTATATTTCACAGTTTGGGCTTTTGTTTGCATGTAAATTATGCATTTTTATCCATTTGCATTATTTAAATCATTCAATTCTCTTCTTCAGGAGAGAAGAAGAAGAGCGTCTAAGGCGGGAAGAGGAAGAAAGGGAGCGACAGAGGCTGGAGGAAGAGAGACGGAGGCTTGAGGAGGAGGAAAGGCTTAGAAGAGAGGAAGAAGAAAGGAGGCAGGCAGAAGAGGAGAGGCTACGGATTGAGCAGCAGAAGTATGTGTGGTGTTTGTTGTTTCTTTTTTAATTTTATATATAAGCATTCCTCTCCTTTTGTATTTAAATCTGTATGCTTTTTTTTAAATCACTTTTTATTTCCACGTATTTTGTGAGACCGAAAACAAGGGTTAGTCCTGTGCTGACACTTGGCCCAAAGATGAAAATCTCACTACAAATCTGTCTGACTTCCTGTTGTTTTCCTGTATTTCCATTTTCATTCATTTTAATGTAACCAGACAACAGATAATGGCAGCATTAAATGCGCAGACAGCGGTGCAGTTCCAACAGTATGCTGCTCAGCAGTACCCAAACAGCCCTGAGCAGCAGATGAGCCTCATCCGTCAGCTGCAGGAGCAGCACTATCAGCAGTACATGCAGCAGCTCTACCAGGTCCAGCTGGCCCAGCAACAGGTAGGATGCAGAATCTCAACATAACATAGACTTTTCACTGATTGAGTTTTATTGTTCAATATATAGGATTTGCAGTTAATGTGGGAGTACTTAGAATAGATTAGAAGGATTGCCTGCAGGTCTTTCTTTGGCCCCAAATTCAATCTGATCAGTTGACCCCTGAGATTAGTCCCTTAATTAACTCTTCATTATCTGACTGAAAGGAATGTGTGTCAGAGCCTAGCAGCTGTATTATCTAGGATAGATTTAGTGTAGAAATCCCTTGCTAATAATTAGCCTTCCAAACTGGGTGGTATATGTCTTGACAGCACACACCTTTATTCATGTCCTCTTTAATATCCTGACTGATGCATAAAACCTTCCTGTAAGACATCGGCCTCCCTTTAGAGTCCTTCCAGCTCAAGTGAACTGTTAAATTGCAAAGGAGTTATTGAAAAATAGCCAAAAATGTTTTAAACCTTTTGACTTGAATTACTTTATTTTATACCATTTTTAACAGCCAGGTGTGGTAAACAAAAACCTCAAACAAAGACTAAGATGAAAAATCCCTGAGCAAATCAGTTGTTCAAAAGTCTAGCCCTAGGTCTACTCGTATGCAGCAAAGCTGAAAAACAGACCCTTCGGTTTTCGAGATGTATAGGATGTTGCCAGAAGATGGAAATTTAATTGTTAATAATCTTATCCAACCCTAACACAGCCCTGGTGAAGCTAGATTGTTGGTTTCTCTTTCTCATCCTAGGCGGCCTTACAGAAGCAGCAGCAGTCTGATTCAATGGTGCAGGGCACCCTAGAATCTAGCAGCTTCCACACAGGTGAACCCATCCCCGCATCCTCAGCTGGACCATTGTGTGCTGCTTCACCACAGACTGGAGAAGAAGCTCCAACAATCAATGGAGGCCAGTCAGACTCTTACTCAGAAAGTATGGATCGGGAGCCAGAGCCTGAACCGGCAGAAGAGGTCTCAGAGAATGGACCTTTATTAGGTTGGTGGGCTGCTCTATATCCATCTCAAAATAAAAGCATGAAATATTGGAGCGGCTAATGACTAGGGGTCAGACAGGGTAAGCTCTCTGTCAGAGCAGTGAAGCGGTCTGCCAAGCTTGAAACCTGATGCTTATCTGCTGTGCCCTTGTTGATGTAACCTGGAGGGCAGAAGAGCTGGAACAAGTGACACACAAGAATGTGTTGGTTTAGGTTTCCTCCAGTCACATATTCCGCTTACAGGAGTAAAAGACATCACAGTAGATATGCAAAAGTCCTTGGTGTGAATCCAAAACACATATCCCTTTCCAAATGACTTCCTTCTTCCTGTTCAGTGGAATGATAAATAAAGCTGGGGTAGCTGTGCCTGCAAAAACAAATCTTTGCTATTATGCACATGGACTCTGGTTTTCTCTGATCGTTCTGAGACACACAGGTTTCCTCCAAGTTGAGCTTGTTTGGGATTCGGTCTGCATATGCTGGAAGGGAATCGCTTATTAGGGAATGCACTGTTTGTTTTGTAAGAAATCTGGTAGAAAATAGATAATGTCTTCTCTTTCCTTTTAATTGCAGCAGAATCCCCACCAGTCATAGCTGCTCCTTCCATGTGGACACGGCCACAGATCAAGGACTTCAAGGAGAAAATCCGTCAGGACGCAGACAGCGTGATCACGGTGGGGCGCGGCGAGGTGGTGACGGTGCGTGTTCCCACTCATGAAGACGGCTCGTACCTGTTCTGGGAGTTTGCTACAGACTATTACGACATCGGCTTTGGGGTCTTCTTCGAGTGGACGGACGCAGCCTCTGCTTCAGTCAGCGTGCATGTGTCAGAGTCCAGTGAAGAGGATGAAGATGATGAAGGTGAGGGTAGTTTTTTTTATTTTTTTACTTGCTGTACTTAAACACATTCCTTATTATTATGTAAACAGCAGTTATGCATTACAGCCTTAAGGCTTCTCACTTAATCATACCATGATTGGTTTGGTTAATTATTCATGCTGGATGCCCCCATACAACCCCTACAATGATTTGTTCTCCCCCCAGGATCGAACCAGGGTTAGGCGGCTGTGTCAACCACTACTGTGACTGTTTCCTTTCACTATTGAGTATAAGCCGTACAGCTGTTTTTGGTTTTTATATATAATAGATAGGGAATTTAAATAGTGAATTATATTTATGTAGTTTTACTAGTGGCAACACTTAAACTCTTATTTTGAAAGTTTAGTTGCCTCTAACCAGTTAGCCCTGACTGTTCCCCTCCTGTATTTTCCCTGCTGATTGGCTTGTTGGTCAGGTTGATCATCCCTCTCCAAAAAGCACTTTGTCCCACCGTTAATGGTGCTCCAGTTCCAGTATCTTGGACTGTAGCTGGCGATGGTGGTCATCCTTTTGCTTAAGAGAACTACCGTCAGTTCAAATGCTTGTCGTATCAGAATAGGCTGAGAACTGGTTAACTGTGTGTGACACTACGGCTACGTTCACACTGCATGCGAAAGCGCATCAAATCTGACTTTTTTGACCCATATCCGATCATGGTATGACAGTGTGAACGGCACAAATCCAATATTTTCAAATCCGATCTGGGTCACTTTCGTATGTGGTTCTGAATGCGAGACATATCTGATATTTCAGAAAGCGACTGCTGTTTGAATGTCATGTCGCATTAAATCCGTCTTTTACGTCACTGACACAAGACAGACGCCAAGTATCAGTGCTGGAGAAGCGCCCGATAAGACATCGCGAATGCTTCGTGGCCATCCCGTGTAGATGTTAGTGAAACTGTTGGGAAGACAGCATTGGAAAAACGTGAACATTTTATTCGTACTGTATAATCTGCAGATTCTGACAGAAATCTGTAACTATCCTTTGAAGCACCGCTCCTCTCTAAAACAGCAATAAGGATAATTATTAGGCCATATGTAAATAACAAAATAGCTTTATAACTTAAAGCAAAATTGGGAAACGTAAAACCCGAAACAAGTCTTTATATTAAGGGCCATCAGTCAAATAATACTGTTTGGTCTGGATCTAAACAGAGGGCGTTGTGTGTGACGTCTTCTTTTGCGCATGCGGGCCGCTTTGAGGGTTCACACTAGAGCGCGTTTGCGGTCACATTTTATTTGTAATGTGAACAAGCAGACAAAAAAAATTTGGATTTGATCAAAAAATCGGAATTGAGCATTAAGACCTGCAGTGTGAACGTAGCCTACTGCTGCCCTCTGCACAACAGAACGGTGGAGTCGGTCCACAGAACGAGAGACATGCGATTATATCACTTAGTGCCAAGTTATTTGTTACAAAACTACTGGGAAAATAAAATATTTGCTAAGAAATTAAAAAAAAAAAGTGTCTGTCATGATGCTCATGCACTTCTGTACATGTACACACAAAGTCTGCATGAAGGCTGTCAATGCTCTAATTAGTGTTGTCTTGTGCTTTATTTCTGTGGCTTAAATTATAAGCCCGTTTGAGAGATTAGTAACTAGTTTTCCATTAATATTTTATTCTTATCCTACACTTATAATTAATTATCCACTGACTCTTGCCATTGTAACAAAAGTCCTGCCTATCTTTTGTCATATAAAGGAAAGCATATGACTGAATACTGGCAGTCAAATTATTGAACAACATTCACTTTTTTAAATAATATTGATATTGTGCTGTTCTCACAGTCCAATTAAATGTTTGGATGCTTTGTCACCTTTAAGTTCTAGTGTTTTCTTTACCTCTCACACTAACCTGTAAGGAATACCCACTGTTGGGCTCATTTCTTGGAATGTAATGCAAAAATCATACAGCACAAAATGTATTTTTGTTTGCGCAAATAATGCATTGGTGGTTTTTTTGTTTTTGTTTTGTTTTTGTGTTTTTGTTTATGTTTTTTTTTTTTTTACCTGCAGGCGAGCCAACCAGTGAGGAAGAGAAGGCCAAGAAGGAGGCAGGGAAGCCTCAGGTGGATGAGATTGTACCGGTTTACCGGAGGGACTGTCATGAGGAGGTGTACGCCGGCAGCCACCAGTACCCAGGTCGCGGAGTCTACCTGCTCAAGTTCGACAACTCCTATTCACTCTGGCGCTCCAAGAGTGTTTACTACAGAGTCTACTACACCAGATAAGCCTGAATACAGACACAAGGGGAGCCAAGGAGTGTGTATGTTCGTATATATAAATATATGTATGTACGTGTGTGTGTGTTTGTGAGGGGGGGAGGGTGAAGATTTGTGTGAAGGCAGCCTGTATTTGTGTGTATGTGTGCGTGTGTGTGTGAAGGAGGAAACTACCAGATTAATTCTGGATTAAACCACCAGAGGGAGACAAAGAGACACATCTGGAGTCGTAGTCTGGAGACTCGACTAATATGTATTTACTGTATGTGTACGCGTGACCCAAGATGCACCCATGCTAGATCCCGTTATCGAGCCCTTGGAAGAGGAGTGCGTATACCCGTTGTATATTCACCACCTGTCCTTGCTGCATTCACACCAAGCTGTAGGACTTTGCTCTCATGATATATTTCACCAGTTTCCTCCCCTGGGCTCCACTTAAGTCACCAAAGCCCGGCCCAGCACTGTCCAACACGGTGGCGTTGTGGCTGCTTGTGCTCCAAGTGATGCTATCATAACCACAAATGGAAACTTGGCGGCTCCACGAGCCTATGTTTCCCTTTCTTTCTTTTCTTTTTCTGTTTGCTTGTTTGTTTGCTTTTGAGTGGAAAAGGTGGTTGTTTATCCCAAAAGTACACAGAGGACAATGTTAGAAATCAATTTATTATTAAAGATGTGCTTCATAACACTATGCCTTTTACTCAGAGATCGTCTGGTCTTTGCCAATTGTGTTCTCACTCATTTAAACAGCCCGGGTTCTCAAACCTGCTCATCCTTTTTGTTGTCACAAAGCCACCGTACCTGTATGAAGATCTGAGAGGATTGTGAAGTGGAACGAGTGGTCTTTTTCATCTTCTCCTCGCAAACGTTCTGTTTCTTATACTTATTTCGAGAGTCAGGTTACAACAGCAGTGTGTGTCTTTTTAAACTTGCATCATTTATGAAGGACCAGCAAGAAGTCATTCAGTAACATGGGTGTTGAAGGAGGATGTGCAAAACATCATTCACATGGTAATTTATGGCTGTGAGCCTTATCGGCTGCAGAAGCGTCACAGTGTAAGAAGTGTAAAAGTCAAATCGGTGTAGGAGTCATTTCCGTTCTCCCACAAATGTTTTTCCGTTTGAGTTTTTACAAAAGAAAAAAGTTGCTTGTTGACAGTCCCTTATCATATGTGTTGTTCACCACTTGTTAATTAAAGACTCACAAAAAAGAAAGAGCTTGTGTTGTCAATGTTAGCAGGGGGATTTGTTTTATCATTCCTGTTTTCCTGTTCAGAGCTCTGACACGCACGTGACAATAAACTCAACTAACCATCCTTTTTTTTTTTTTTTTTTCTTTAAGGTCCTAACACACTGTTACATCTGTGTAGAAAATCCATAACAAAACTCTGTTTTGTCTACTTTTTTCCTTTCTTCCTCTTTGAGTTGTCATCTCAAACATTATGAATTAAAAAATAAAAAGGAAAAAAGAGGTGATTAGAATTGTGTTCTGCGTGACACGGTTGCTTACTAACATTTAAATGTTTTTTTTTTTTATTATTATTGAAAATGTAATTTAGATTCATTCTGTTCTTCAGCTACGCATGACATATGTACCCAACATCTGAGTGCGTTGTGAGAATTGCTGTATGAACTGTGCTCTCTGAATCAAAGTGATTGTCGAATATGGCAAGTGGGCATCGAGGACATTTGATTTCACTTTATCACACTTTAGTTGTTTTTTTTTGTGTGTGTGTGTGTGTGTGGGTGTGTGTAAATGCAAAGCAACTTTAAAGACAGAGGCGGAGTATCTTGCAAGCCAGTTAACCCTCCAGTGTTTGCAGAGCATCATTATTTAAAGACTCCTGCCTCCAAATCCATTCAATGATTTGTGCAACAGAATGTCACTACTTGCGGCTCACACAAGCCGTAAACGTCAAATTCCCCGTAACCTCAAATGTGATGTTTTTTTTTTGTTTTGTTTTTTGTTCGTGGCTCATCAAAGGGTTTGATTTGAGATGTTTAAGCCTTGTATGTAAATAATTCTATAAATGATGTTTATGTATGGGTTTTTAAATGTGGAAGAAGGCTGTGGGTTTTTTGCGAATGAATGCACTGTAATATGACACGTGCATTTTACCCCGAATGAAAGTCCAAAACTTGTAGAAAGTACGAGACTCCCTTAACATAAAATTTCATTTTTTTTGTATTGTTTTAATGTTTGGATCTCTTATGATTTGCAAGATCTTTTTGGGCATATATTTAATCTTGATTAAACGTATCTTCATCTCTATAATTGTCTGCTTATTGCTGCTTGCTCTGGTTTCTACAGCACCAAGGCGTCAGCAGAAAAAGCACAAGTGGATGTAACTCATTTAACAAGAAGGCAGCGCCGGTTCACTCACAGTTGATTACCCATGTGCTTTCTTTGCAGCGACACAAGCTCATGGGTTTTGCCTCCCAGCAGTTAAGTGGCGAGAAGATTTGTATTTTAAACAAACAGAGGATACGGGAAATGTGAGGACACCAAAAAATGGCCTTGGAACAACACGCCACTGTCAGGCTTGTTCCTTTTTCCACCAGTAGTAAATGTGTCATCCTCACGCTGCTTTCCTGTCAAACACAATTTGTGCTGAGGGAAGGACAAATGCGGATATTGCTCATGCCTGAGAGAACAATCCACTTAACTTTGTGTTTTCTGTGTATGTGGGGTGTCTCAATATTCAGAGCGGTGGGGGCATAAATCCAACATTTCACATGCAAATATTGAGCAACGTGCTACTAAACTATTGCCACATAGAACATATTGAGTAATGAGAAAACGGTGAAAGTGACAGGAATGCTTGCTACTATGCTGGGAGTTGCAGTATTCACTAAAAGACACCAGGGGGCGCATTAATAGCTACGGAGCAGAGACAGGACTTCATCCACTGAACTTGTGGCCTGTTAATTTTAAAAGTGAGTTGAGGGGATGGTGTGCCCTTGAAAAGAGCTGTGAGGAATTTAAAGAGCAGATATGGGAATGTCAGATGGTGAACAGAGGAGCTGGACAAACATGCCATGTGCACACACTGAGGTCATAAATTACAGACAAGTGTTCAGAGAATGTGTTACCATGAGGTTATTTTAAATGGTATGAAAAAAACGTATGTCTGTTTGCTCTGTAATAACTGTGGGCAAATTCCCCTTTAAAAATAAATGTGCAACAGACAAGAGAAACATTAGCGAAATAGCAAGAAAATAACATGACAAGCTCAAAGTATCCAGACTACGCTACCTACATATCATTTTGTTAACGCTATGATTTTTGACTTGATGACTTTCATGAATATGAGAAACTGAGAAACGATCCGAGACTTACTAACTCAAAATAGCTAAAAATGTAAGAAATTGAAATAAACTCTAGAAATTATAAAATACATATAATTACATTTGTGTCTGACAGTAAAAAAAAAATTTTTCCTTTAAAAAAATCTCGACATATTCAAAATTAGTGTGACAGGTACTAGCTTAAAATGCTAAGACCATTTAAGCTGACTCAAATTTTTAATTTATGGATGGCATTTTTTTT